CATTGACACCACTGCTTGGCCTCTGAACACTTGATGCATTGGTTGTGTGAGCAAAGAAGGCACATGAAGTTGGACTTGCTGCCTTGCCTGCATGATCATCTGATCCCACACTGCAGCATTGCAGGCACCAGAGGAGGAGGTGCCACCATCACTGTGGGCATGGCCATCCCAAAGGACTCAAGCATTGCCCTTCTGTTGTCATCACAGCATTTCTGGGCGGCCTCAATGAGATTCTGGAGATCCTCATTCATGCACTTCAGGCGTTCAGCTTGCATGATCTCAGCAGTCCTGTCCATGAGCTGCTTGAAGTCATTGTGGAGACCACGCAGCACCACCAACCACTGCTCAAGCTCATCAATCTCAGTGCTGATCTCACTGTAGGGACCCACAAGTGTGACATTGGCCAACTTGAGGGCCTTGCAGTCAATGGTTGGGGTGGCTCCCTCCATTTCCCACATGTCATGGGAGAGGGTGGGGATATCAGCATTGTTGATCTTGTTGATGGACACAAACAGGTCAGAATCAGCCAACATCTTGAGCAGCTTGTCCCACACTTCAGCCAAGAGATCACATGGCTTCAGCATGTTAAGCTTGATGACAAGATCAACAGAGGACAGGAGGTCCTTCAGCTTGTTGATCAAGAGATTCACTTTCTTGGCACGCAACAGCCTGGTCCACTTGGCAGCAGGCTTCTCATTCTCACCCTCATCCCCATCCCTGTCCTTGTCCTTGTCCTCATATCAGTGTTCCTCCACCTCATCATCCTTGCCACCAGAGAGGGTGTCATAACTGCCTTGGACATGCCTCAGGCCATTGGGGGACTGCTCAGGAGCAGAGCAGGACGTGGAACAGGTGACAATCAGCAATGTCAATGCTGGATTCTTGGGCATAATCTTGGACAATTGCTGCTGCTTCTCCTTCTCCTCCACCACTCACTTGCGCTTGAGTTCAGACACATTTCCACTCACCATGGCAGTGCTGCGCCTCAAAGAGCTCAGGGTGATGCTGTTGGTGCAGACAGACATGGACAGGTAGAGTGGGGGGGGGCTGTTGGTTGTGGCTGAAGTTGGCAGTGCTGAGAAAAAATAAGTGACCAGCGCCCGCCAAGTGAAGTCACTTGGGGTTTTCATTTGGCAGCCAATGATCTTTCAGTGACACCAGCAGCTGCCATCACTGGCAGCTTGAAAAAGGTTGCCATTCTTTGTGTGTGGCATTATGCTCACACACACCATGGAAAAGGAGAACCACAGTCACTATTGTTACCACTACTATCTGCCTGTTGTGGTGAACAAAATCAACACTGAAACTGGCAATGAGTTGCTGCCTGTGCCAAATCAACTACACAAAGATAGGGAACTGGCCAATCTTGTGGACAAAATGATCCAACGCAGCATGATGCTGTACTGCATTGCACCCTACTTTGTCAATTGCCACTGCTACACATACAAGCTCAACAGCACATACTACTACTACTCAGCAGCAATCCAACAGGGCAATGACACCAAAGATAGTCTGGAACTAGGTGAGGATGATGTCTGGTTCAAGTGCATCATTGATCAGCTCAACTGACCTTTCAACTGCAAATGTACCCATCATCTCAATGAGAGCAGCAAAAATCACAAGCCAATCATGCCACTCACCCTCAATCCCAAAGCCTACATCCAGTGCCAAGTCTGCAAGAAGTGGTCCCACCAGTCATGCATTGATCCCATGTCACTGAACACCACTGATCAACAGGGATGGGTATGCAGGCGAAGCCAGCATTGCCATCACATGCAATCTTCAGTGCCACCGCCGCCACAACCACCCAAATTGCACTCAGCAATCAGGAAATGACCCCTGCGCATCAGGAAGCAGATCAGCATGGCCAAGGCTATGGCATCAAGCTATGCCACCACCACAATCAAATGGAGGCTGGATGCGTGTCCAGCCAACGATCTGAAGCACCAGAAGACCGCTTCATGAAAAAAATTGCCCTCATTTAATGAAAACCTGTTGACCAAAAGAAGTGCCCTGGCAGTGGGTGCATGGTTGGGGGGTGGGAAAATTTGAGCAACCCGCGCCTTGGTGCATAAAGCATGGGTCGCACTAGATTACAATAACACAATCACCATGGATGACACCCTGCAACACGCTGTGAGCATGATCACACTTGAGCTGCACTGGCTCAAGGATAGCTGTGATGAGGTGCGCGCGCATGCATTGCAGGTGTGAAGTTATTTTCAAGCCATCCTGGCGCCCAACCCCCTATTGGGGCTCACCAACACCACAACGTGTGAATGTTTTTTTCATCAGGCGCTGACCATCCACTGAAGCCATGCCCCCACAGAGCCTGATCATGGCCCTTGTCAATGTGTCTCTCCAATATCTAGACTTGGACGCACCGCTGATTGACACATCAGAATCTCCAATTCAACACCACCACAAAAAGCGCACCGCCCAAGAGTTTTCCCCCAGCAGCGACATTGACATTGACAGGGAGGGCGATGACGCTGATTTCAATCCTGACTCGGCAACCTGCGACAAGAAGCGACAACGCCAAAGATGGCATTGACCATCATCTGACAGGCCCAAGTGAACATGACACACTGCTCATGTGTGCGCCTGTTGAACACACCGGATCATGCACAAGCACTGCAATCATGACGCCGAGTGTGCCCGCGATGCCGAGGCGCTCTGTCATTGCGGGTGTGATTGATGTGAATAAATAAATAATGTCGCTTTGGTGCTCTTGAAACATATGCAAATGATATGATGGGTGCCATGCAATCCAACAACGAGATCAACACTGCCATCAACAGCATGATCGCCGAGATCAACAGCACGACCCAGCACTGCCAGACCAAGAGCAGCCAGGGCCAGCAGATCAACGTGGACACCGTGTGTGGCCCCAATGTGAGCAAGATTGACATCAGCCACAACAACTTCAACATCCAGGGCACCTTCGACGTGCAGTGTGTGCAGTCGTCGCACAACAGCAATGCTGCTGACCAGAACATCAAGAACATGATGAAGCAGCTGGCCAAGTCGCTCGAGGGCTCGCTCGGCATTGGGTACGTGAGCGCCAACAACGTGCAGCAGCTCACCGAGGACATCGCCGCCACCATCAACAACTCCACCATCAATGACTGCATTGTGGACTTGGCCATGAACCAGGGGATCTATGTCAAGCTGGACAGTGGCAAGTGCCCCATGGACAGCGACATCAAGATCACGTACAACAACTTCAATGAGCTGTCCACAGACATGACCAGCTGCATGCAGATGGTGGCCAACAGCAACACCGCCATGCAGACGCTGCGCAACATCATTGACCAGAAGGCGACGGCGACCGTTGAGGGCATCCTCAGCCCGCTCCTGATCATCATCCTGGTGATCCTGCTCATTGTGGGCGGTATTATGTTTGGCGGCACCAAGATGCTCACCAGCCTGGCCTTCATTGCGCTCCTGCTTGTGCTGCTCATCGTCTACGGCGTCATTGCGTGGTTGAAGAAGTGGTTCCCTTTTAATGGTTAAATAGATTGCGCACACAGACAACTCAGGATCGGCCAACGTCCCTGTGGGCCATAACCAAATCATCATCCATGAGCCTCCTCCAAGTTCTACACTGGTGCACACGCGTTTGGCATGGAACAGCTGGCAAGACATGGGTGATGAGTTCTTCAGGAAGGTCATCCATTGTGGATTGGGATCAATCCACATAAAACACTGCTCATTCTTTTTTACTTGATTGTCATGAGGTGAACAAACAATACATCCTCTTCAACCAGAGTGTAGTGGCCAGGGGTTGTTTCCTTGAGGTTGTGACACTGGCAGCTGCCCTGAAACCAAGCCACATTGGTCCCACACCTGCCACAGATTGGATACTTGATGTTGCCAGTGGCGAGCTTGATGGGGAGGAGCTTGATCATGGATCCCATTTGTTGGTCATAGAGGGTGAACTGGTGCTGGCGCCTGGGTTGACGCACCCTGAAAAAGCTGACGGCATGTTGTGCCTCATCGCAGTGGAAAATGGCTTTCTGTTGTTTTGTGTTTGTTTCCCAAGCATGGACTATGAATACCAAGGCCTGAAACGCGTGCAGGAATGGCTTGATTGTTGGATCTGTGCCAGGATCTCCGACAGCGCACACAGACGCATGTGCAAATGGCGCTGAAAGTTGCTTTGGGGCAGATCTTGCTGTGTTTGTTTGGATGATGATGTGCAGCTGGTCAGCTATAGCAACAATTGCCAATGCACGCTCCCATTGGTGTGTTGGGATTGTGCGCCAAAGACTGAGAGCTGCCCAATATGTCAACTGAGTGTGGGATCCGTGAGTGGTGGATGGCATACTCAGATGTGTTCAGTGTTGTTGCCATCAGCGAAGAGGAGGAGGCCAGCGGTGCATATGGTGGCATCATTCTCAATGACTACATGAACTACCTTGAGGATCTGGACAATGACATGTGCCTATGCGATCTGGACAGTGATCCAAGCTGTGAATCATGTGAACGCTGGTGGAAGCGGCGTTGCGCGATCCTGGTGTCCTACATCCGCTGCTCACTTGGCAAACAATAAAAAAGGGCGCCCGGCGTGCCATTCGAGCATTGCACAATGGAGCACAACACACTGACACTTGAGCTTGATGTTGGTGGGATCTGATACACAATGACCAGGGCCATGCTGGGCGATCTCTTTGAGCATCTGTCTGTGACGAAGCAGCCACATGGTTGGTTCTTCATTGATCGTGATGGCAAGCTCTTTTGCTATGTGCTCCAGTTCCTCTGTGATGGCGACATCCGGGACATGATCGCGGGCATGAAAGTGACCGATATCATGGGCCTCAAGAGGGAGGCCTTCTTCTTTGATCTCGGATCGCTCAAGGAACAGATCTCCGAAGTTGAATCGGCGATCGTGTGACCCATTGTGGTCTGGCTCCATCAGCAATGGAACGCCACCAGCCATGGCTACCATTGGGCCATCAATTCACAATCCAGCCATCTCTTTGATGGGTTGCAGGAGCTCAGGGCCTGTGGCTCCAGTGACTGGCTGATGGCAATTGGTATTGTGGTTGTTGCGTTTGCGACACGAGGATACAAAGTTGTCAGCAGCCAACACAACAGCACATCAAGAGAGAGTGAATCGCATGAACTCATCTTTTGACCCCAAAAGACCCACTGCAGCCGCACTGATTCACCGCTCACACGTCACCTTCAGGCAAACAAATAAATGACAATGGATGGGTGTGTCCATTGTGTGCCTCTCTCAGCTCCAACAGATCCTCGGCCTCCTTGCACAACCGCCCTGGATAATCCATGCTGAGGAAAAACCAGAGGGATTCACAGATGATGTCATATCTGTGAGCCACACATCTCACATCGCTGGCCATTTTGTTTTCAGTGGTGATCTCCCTTTCAATGGTGCGTCCAAGCATCTCCAGCAGCACTTGGGCTCAGGCGATCAAGGGGGAACCCAAACAATCGTTGTAGCGCAAGATTTGAAACATGAAGCAACTCGTCCCACACGACAACTCCCTGGTGCTCAAGATGGAGCTGAAGGCGTGCTTGATTGCCACTTCCTCTTGTGTGGTGAGTGTGTCCATTGTTTTGTTTTGTTTTGGTTTTTGGCTCTCTTTGTTTGGCGTTGATCCAACAGATCTGATGAAACTCGCCATCGCCCATCGCAAGGTGGAGACAATCGCCAATCACCATGGCGTCGCCCTCAGCCACTCCATGCCATGCATACTGCACACCCTCAAAGAGCGGCAGGAGGCTGGTAAAGTGGACGCCATCACAGATCCAATCCATCCACAGCGATCCGTCGTCGTCATCGTTGTGCATCAAACGCCACACACGCGCAAGCTTGGCTGCATCACCATCGTTGTGGGCGGTGTTATCAATATGAACGTCAGTGACGTGGATGTACCCACCAGCAAGGAAGGCCTGATGGAGGTACTCCACGTGCTCATCTGATCGGTGGGACATCAAAAGGAGACAAAGAAGACCTTGACAATAGTGTCATGGGGCCGTTTCAGTTTGGACATGATCCTGTTGCGCGTCGCCATCGCTGCGCCCACAACAATGTCTTCCACTTTATACATGTGAGGTCACTTGGGGGTTGTAATATTGTCTTTCACTTTTGTTTTTAGTTCTCACATTTCAAGCAGACATGGGCCAGTGGATGCAAGCAATCCACAACCAGGTGTTTGGTGTCGCCCCGCCAATCCCAGAGAGCGGGAAAAGCCTGCTCTACATCTGGGAAAGTGCACCTGACTTCACCATTGTCTACGTCATACTGGATGTGTGCATCTCCACCGAAGAGCGCAAGCTTCTGAGCGATTGCCATGGCCTGATGTTTGATGAAGATAATGAGGATCATCCACAAGTCGCCAAACTACAGGATCTGCTCTATGGCGAAGAGTTGAGGTGGCAAGAGTTTGCCCATGGGTTCACCACTTGTGGGGTCCTTTTGGGTCACTTCATGGGCATCTACCACGTCTCTGATCGCTTGGCCTAACGACGCGCCACGCCACGAAATAAACGTTTGTGCTGTATCGCCCACAACCATGCTCCCACTGGCCAAGATCGCGTCCACCATCCTCGGGCTCGTCATCTTGTTCGCCTTGGTGTATGTGGGCACGCAGATGGCCAAGAAGAAGGGCCAGTCCAAGATCTATGTCACAATGAACAACAAGGTGCCGGTGTGCGACATGGCGGATTGCGATGTCATCCCAAGTTTGCACAAATCATCACCAAAGGGATGCAAAACACAATGCAAAGAGGCCAACAAATGCAAGGCCTACATGTTTCACACGAGGAACGCCAATTCCCCATCGCCCAACTGCTGGATCAAGACCGCCAAGGGCAAGATGCGGCTTGTAGACCAACCGGGCATGAATACTTTGCTGGTGGTCGTTGAGGCATAAATGCAAAAGGCATGAGTGAACGTTGGATCTTTGTGTGGATGGAGTACATGCCACTGCTTGGCGTTGGGTGCTATGACGCTGTCTTTCAGGTTGTGTCTGGTGGCTTCATGATCTCTAGTGAGGCCAGGGACATGATTGTTGATGAGTGTGGATATGAGGATTTTGGCAGATTCAATGGCTTTGATCACACTGCTGTGTGTTGTGGGCGGCGCTATGAACTGACTGTGATCATCAGATCATCAGCACCATCTGGTGGGATCCTGCACTGAGGTGTTGGCTATGTCATCTTCAGTGAGCACTGAGGTGGTGGTGTGTTGAGAATCTGGTGAGTCTTGTGTGGGCACATATGCAACCACCACCATCATGCCATTGTGTGAGACCATCACCATTGCCTCTGTTGTTGTGCTCTTCATTGTGCTTGCGCTTGGTGGCATCTACTACTACTGGTCAACGTGCAAGCCCACCTATGTCAAGTACGCTGGCCAGAATCTGACCTGTGATCTGAGCCCCAACTGCGATGTGGTGATCGGATCAGCCGAGGCCACCGTCGACGCCTGCCAGGCCCGGTGCGATTCCACTTCGGGGTGCGAGGGCTTCCTCTTCCAGCGCACCGGCGCCGGATCCGGCAACAACTGCTGGCTCAAGAAGTTTGCCGACTACCCGCCCAAGATGACCCCGTGGGCATTGGCCGATTTCTACCTCAACTCCAAGGAGAAGCAATGAATAAACGTGATCGCAAGTGGCAACAGCAGCAAGACAAGCGCAAAGTCGCCCAACGCGACAATCCGATTGCGAAGCCGAAACCGCCCACCAAGGACGACATGATTGTGAATCCGACACGGCTCCATCCCGCCTGTCCCATCGTGGAGCCATGCCCTGTAATCGCCTTCAAGTATCCCGTGACCCAGCTGGTGTACTTTGACGGTGGAACGGGGCGGGCGCTGTTCGGATCGAGCATGATCGATCGATGCACGGGCGAGCGAGTGGCATGGCATCAATGCCCGGATGACTTCACCGCCGAACACAAAGGCTGGATCAAATGGTCCGGCGATGACGCCGTCGCGAATTACAAAAAACGACTGGACGCCAAGGGCGAATATAAAAGCCCCTTTTCGTTTTTCGATTGAACACAACATGTCGCGCCAAGGTGCCTGTGCTCTGATTTCAGGCGTCTACGGAGAGGGCGTTTCTCACATTCATCCGCCCACACCGGCAAGGAATGGAATCCTTCTTCTCCTCTTGCTTCGGCGCAGCGGTCGGGCTTGCTCCACCGCGACCTCAAGTCGTCCAACCTGCTCGTCGACGATTGCCTCGCGGTCAAGGTGGCCGATTTCGGGTTTGCACACATCAAGCAGGACAAAGACACGCTCACCAACTGCGGCACGCCGGCATGGAGCGCGCCCGAGGTGCTCCAAGGTCAGCAATCAAGGCCGACGTCTACTCGTTCGGGATCATCCTGTGGGAGCTCCTCACGCGCAAGCGTCCCTACGCCGACGAAAACTTCATGCACATCATCACCGCCGTCATCGACAGCAAGCGCCCGCCCATCCCTGTCGACCTGCGCAGATGGGGAAAAAAATTTGAAAGCCTCAAGGCCACATGCCCCAATTAGCCCATTGGTTGTCCAAATGGACTTTTGCAAAAAAATTGAAAACTCCTTCCTGTTGTTTGTTCTGTATTGTCATGATGCTGCGCCCCACCACCGCTCTCCTTCTTGCCCTCTCCGTGGCCGTCTTCCTCGTCGCCTTGGCCGCTGCAGACAAAGATGATGACCATGAGCCTATCTGGCGCAAGTTCCTCGACTGGATGATGACCCACAACAAGTCCTATGTCAACCCGGAGTTGGCCCACCAGTGGAACGTGTGGCGTGAGAACTACCACTTCATTGAGGAGCACAACCACCAGAACCACACCTACAGCCTGGGCATGAATCAGTTTGGCGACCTCACCTTCAATGACTACAAGGCACTCTACACCATCACAATGCCGCCGTTCAACACTTCCAACTACGACGTCCACAATGCCACCTCCTCTGGCCTCGCCTGTTGGAACGTTGACTGGAGGAACCAGAAGTGTGTACAGAGAGTCAAGAATCAGGGTACGCTCCCCAAAGAAAGCCCAATTTTTTCACTGCCAATCTTACATGTGGCATTTCCAAGGTTCGTGTGGCTCAGATGGAAGTTCACTGTTGGGTTATGTGTTCTCCGCCATTGGCGCCCTTGAAACTGCCCACTGTCTCAAGCACGGTCAGCTCCTCGACCTGTCTGAGCAGCATCTCGTAGACTGTGGCGGCCGGGGCTGCAGTGGCGGTTGGATGCATGAGATGTTCGCCTACCTCCAAAAGAATGGGGGCGCTACGTCCCAGACCGAGTATCCCTACACAGTGAGAGTCGGTATCTGTCAGGCTGCGAGCAAAAGGAAGGTTGCGCAGGTTGCGTCGCACAAGATGATACCGTGAGGTGACGAGAATGCTCTCATGGACGCGCTCTCCAAGGTCGGGACCATCGCCATCGCCTACAACGCTGGGACCCAAGCGCACGCCTACTACTGAAGTGGAGTTCTAGACATCCCCAACTGCAGGAACCGACCCACCCATGCTGTGCTGCTTGTTGGCTATGGTAATGAGGGTGGCAAGGACTACTGGCTCCTCAAGAACTCGTGGGGCACAAGTTGGGGCGAAGCCGGCTACTTCAAGTTGGTACGTGGCACAAACATATGTGGCATTGCTGATTGGGCCTCCTATCCCGTCGTTTAAGGGACGCTTGCCTGTTATTATTGTTGGGAAAGCACTCTGTGTACAATCCTTTTGCCACTGACACTAGCACCTCGAATGTGCTGCACGTAATCACGAGTGAGTGCCGCGTACTAGCATACTTGCTGGAGAAAGAGATATTTGGACGACAAGACAATGAAGAACGAGCAGCAGAAATATGAAAAGGACTGGTGGGACCAAGTCTACTATGGCACCAACATCCCTCTCCCTGACTACACTTGGAATGGGAGGGGGATTCAGGCAAGGCGGAATGCATGTATTTGGATGTACATCACGTGCTTGGGCATCTCTGATCGCCCCAACGACCACGTATGGAGTTGGCCGGACATCGCTTTGGTGAAGGCGATACGCGTGAGACTGCCACATTCCTCAGTACCCTTGACGGATGCGTCACAGGTGGGCCAGCCACATGCTTCCCGACGATGACGCCTGTCTACATGGCTATCAACACCTACTTCTACTTTAAGGATGCATAATTGTGGACACCATAAAAAACTGTCATTGCTCTCTGTGCCATCATTTTTCCTTTTGGCATGACCATGGCCTCCAAGAAGCAAACCTACCTGCATAACTTCTTTGGTGGTGCGCCCACCGAAAAGCGGAAGCCCGTGAAGATGATCCAACCGATCAAGAAGCGGGCTCGTGTGATGCCCGTCGATCTTGATCTGGTCGTTGAGCGACTCATTGCCCATCTGCGCGATCTGTCCTGGCGGGGCGTGCTGGCCAACAAGTTCAAGGAGGGCTACTTCGTTGAACTGGCCAAGTTCCTGGAGCAGGAGCGCAAGGAGTCGTTGATCTTCCCGCTGCCGAAGCATGTCTTCGGTCAACTCGAGCTGTGTCCGTTCGATGACATCAAGGTGGTGATCCTGGGTCAGGATCCGTACCACGGACCCTGACAGGCACACGGCCTCTCCTTCTCGGTGCCCTTGGGGGTCGCGGTTCCGCCATCACTGGAGAACATCTTCAAGGAGCTCACGGATGATCCCGACGTGGATTTCAACAGGCCCGATCACGGCAATCTGGAGAAATGGGCGAGGCAGGGAGTGCTGCTCCTGAACTCAGTGCTCATGGTCGAGGCCCGCCAACCTGGATCACACGCGGATCGCGGATGGGAGCGCTTCACCGACGCCATCATCAAGGCCATCATCGATGAACATGAGGGCGTCGTCTTCATGCTGTGGGGGCGATACGCGCAGAACAAGGGAGACATCATTGACGACAGGAAACACCACGTGCTCACCTCGGCCCATCTGTCGCTGTACTCTACGCATGGATTCTTTGGCAAGCGCCACTTCTCCAACGCCAACCAACTGCTCGGGAGTCGTAGGATTGACTGGAAATTGGACCCCAAGGATGTTGAGCGTGAGAACCAGAGGAAATGGCGCATTGTTGTTTCTTCTTCAAACACATACATGGACGGGCTACCAGACGAGCTGCTGCTCATGATCTTTCGTGCCATGCGGATGGACTGTGTGGATGCGCAGAGACTGAAGCGCGTGTGCACGCGCTGGAGATCCGTGATGAATGAGTTAGAGTCAGCCACATGTCCGACCGCGGATGCTGCCATCGAGCACAATCATCCGGATTGCATGATGCGAACACGAAGCCAGGAGCGGAACGGCCTCCGGCTGTGTTCTTACGTGGCCATACGCGTTGGCGCAATGGCGTGTCTCGAGCGGTTGCGCAAGGCGGGTTTCAAGTTCGACCAGGGATCGTGCGCGCTGGCAGCACGTTGTGGATCCTTGCGCGTGCTCGCATGGCTCCGCGACAATGACTGTCCGTGGGATTCGTCTACATGCACGGGAGCCATCGACGCCGGCCGCCTTGACATTTACGACTGGGCCCGTGCACGCAAGTGCGCCGTAACGCTGAATTGCTCGATGCTCGCCAACGCTCTCAGAGAGGATCAGTAAACGCGATCCGATGGCAATTTTTATTTACCCCCGCGCCGATCACGTACATAAACAGAAAAACGATGGCAACCTGGGTTTGGATCGCGCTATTCATCTTTGTGCTCATCCTCGTCGTGGGATCCTACCTCTACCTCCAGACGATGCGCTCGGTCACGAGCTCGGGTGCCTGGCTGGCCATGATCGAGAGGCGGCGAAGCAATCGACGCATCGGAATCGATGGATGCCCGCACCAATGTGGGATTGCATGTGCGACTCGCGATCCCCGATGAACTGACGACACGCGCTGCAGCACCGCGATGACTGGCGCGACGCCACGCACTTGCCGCACTCGGTGACCTTGTCGTGCGAAAAGTGGGGCTCGCTGCGATCCGATGGCACCGACGATCCGCACGAGACGCACTCCATTCCACCGTGTTGACACACTCCCTGTTTTGCATAAATACAGGCCCTTCCGCGGTTTCGCTCTCACACCACCGCTATGTCTTCCGCCAACAAGCACGCCCTCACTTCTGAGATTATTGAGGCCCTGGCTCGCGCCACCGCGCCGTCATCGCAGGGGGACGTGTGGGTGAGACCCTACGAGGCACCGGCCGAGTCCGACGAGAGGCACCAGTTCGTGCTCTTCCTCAAGCTGGAGGTGGTCACGCCGCACCGTAAGACGGCGGATGTCCCCGCCATCATCGATTCGGCGCTCGACACCATTTCCGGATTTGGGCCGACGACCGTCCACGCTGTGCGCGTGCTGTCGGGCGCCTACGTGTCCAAGCTGGGCCTTATTGAGGAACACTATGGAGTCATCAACGCCGTCTACAATCGCGGTGTTGACGCGCTCACTCTTCAGGCGCTGGACACGCTCAACCGCCTGTTCGAAAAGGAGCTCGACAACGGAACTCGGGTGGTCGGTGGATGTGAGTTCAAGGACATGTATCCAGGGCAGTTCAGCTCCCTGGTGATGCACACACTCAATCAGAGCGTTGGCACCCAGCGTCTCGGTCTGGGCGCCTACACCACCAAGGTCAAGGTGCTCGACGCGTCCTTGATTGTGCTCAACATCTTCTATGAGTACCAGCTTGAACCCTACTCATGAGACGACCAGGCCATTGTGGTCATGGAGCTGCGCAGCTCTTGTTCCTGGGTCGGCATCCGCCAGCAACTCATGGGATCCACCAACCTGAGCACTGCAAACAACGGCTCGCTTCGCCGCATGCTGTTCTCATGTGACTACGAGTTTGGGCTTGGACCAGGCGACATCTCAATGTTGAGCAACGGTGTGCATTTGTTGGCGGGCCTGGTTGAGGCCATGGCTGAGCTGCGCCGCTTCTTCAGCGTTGGACTCCATGGCACCGCCTTTGGCTCCACGCTTGAGAGGAGCGGATTCACCGAAGCACAAATTGAGTCGCTCATGGGCAACTGCCCAATCAATGAAGCGACGACCACCGCCTACGACATCACCGAGGAGAAGGATGCCACCTCGGCGTTGTCCTCATTGCTGGGCATCTTCACAAAAGGCCCATGACGCCAATAAAACTTCCTATTCAGTTTTATTATTGTCGCGCCTCCTTCCATACATAGCCGTGTGGCGCACCTCACGCACCGTTGACGCCTCATCGGCGGTTTCCATCCACTGATCAACCACATCCCAAATTTGGTCTTCACCACACCAGCACGTGCGCGGTTCGGCGCCGCAGACGCAGCAGTGGGAATCGGCGTGTTTGTCCCAAGCAGCGCGTAGGCTTGAGGCGAGCTTGGGGGCCAGGTAAAAGGCGATGGTGCCAAGCTTGTCGTTGTCGTTGCCCATCTTCTTGTTTGTCATCTCGTAGGACGCCCGCATCGGCTGTCCCTTGATCAGCCTGATCGTGACCCTGTCGCACAGCACTGAGGCGTTGGCAAAGTTCTTGAGGTAGCGCAGCGCAAACGACGCAGAGACTGGATCGTTGATCTCGATGTCGGTGTTGTCGTTCTTCTTCAGCGTGAACTTGCAGTTGCCGATGTCGCCATCGAGTGCAAAATGCATCTCGTCCTTTTCGGCTAAGATGATCGCCGTGTCCGAGAACTTGAACAGGTCGTCGATCTTCTTCTTGAATTCAGATGAGCTGGTGATGACAACGACGTTGTACTCCATCTCTGGAATGCTCAGGATGTTGCTTTTGATATTGAGCAGCTTGAGGCCGAACTCGGTCTGTCGGTCGCCGGCGGCGTTCTCGAAAACGAACTGCGCGATGCTGTCGCTGTGAACGTACAAGAGCGTCATTGAGTTGTCCTTGCCCGCCAGGCCCATGATCTTGTCCATCAACGCAATGTTGACCCTGAGCGTCACAGGCACCTCGCACTCATACTCGTCGAATCCTCCGGCAAACATCTTGATCTCAACAAGCGACACATGGCTGCTGTCCAGCGACATCATGTTCATACCCCTGTCATCAAAGACCAGGTTGACGTCTGTGACGATATCCTTGACCAATCCCACCATCTTTTTGAAAACGGAAGCGTTCTCAAGCCTGAACTTCATCGTCAGTGTGGGTGAAAGAGGAAAAAAAGTGCCTTCTCTGGTGGCAGTTTGCTTAAATATTTGCAGGTTTGGCCAAGTGATCTCACTGGGCGGTGCCGGTTGCCTTGGGCATGACTCCAGCCGCAATCGCCATCACCAACCAATGTCAGCCACCACCACCACCATCTATCATGGCCAACGCATCTGCGCCCGGCCCAACTGCAACAAGCCCGCCGTCGTACTCTGCCGTCATCAACGTCCAATGAAGGGCTGGATACGCTATATCACTCCGCCCAAAGCCCGATCACTGCCCCACTGCAACGCACACGCGCTGTTTGATTTCACGGTCATGCCATCTGACATCTACGCTGAAAATGTTGAACTTGTTGATTCGATGCAACATGGCGGTGACAGGGGGGACGTTGTCATCTTGCGCATCCACCCGCGCACATGACAGCCCAAGTATCTGTCCAGATATCTGCAGGTGTACATTGATGCAGACGCCGGTGACCAGAAGGATGCCTTGGTTGCGTGATCGCTCAGTGGCGCTTGGATCTCAGACGACGTCAAGTGCACTGGATGATCCCAAACACAGTTGACGAGAGTGCGTGGGACGAATCATGCAAGATCGACTACCTGTTGGCCAAAGTCAAACTCCATGGCGCCACCGACAAGATCATCATTGTGTCGCAATGGGTGCACCTATTGCGGATCATGGCGCGCAAGCTGGAGGAATCCAGACTCACAGATCAGGAGGCCATCATGCGTGCCCCAACTGCTGGTGCAGAATCAGGATGGTGACCACTATGAGATCTGATTGTAACACATCTTGACAATACCTGGACAGCAATCCATTGGATCCTTTGGGAGGAGATACATGGCCATTGTTGAGGACCTTGTCTGGAATCAATAAAAAACGTGCTGACCTGTGTACAACCTTTAATGATCATCCCAGTCCTTGCAATTGCCATCTGTTATGTAGTGCTGGTAGGTAGTTGTAGCTCAAGCGCGTGTTGTGCAGCATGGTCTGATCCCACAATGCACAATCCCATAGAGACATGAGAATTGGTAGCAGTGGATGCTCTTGCATGCATCACAACACCACCATTCATCCTTGGTCTTGTTCTTGCGCTGGCAGCAGTCCATCTCCATCAATGCGTCCATGGCTGCCAGCACCTGCCTGGCCAACATCATGCAACACAGTGGCACATCTTCCTCAGCAATCCCACCCACCACAACCTTGAGGCACAATTTGTGATTGCAATAGTGCTTGTCACATTCATCGCATCAGATGGTCACATGTTCATCCTCCTCACACCCACATAGGCGCCTCAGGTGGGCTGTGTTTGGCATGCTGCACATTTGACTGATGATGTGGGTTTGATTGTCCTTTTGTGGCAAGTCCTTTTATTTAGCGCCAACCTCCAGCTCTTGGTTGGTGAACAGTACAGGACCACAGATGACTCTGGCTGTGTCAAAGAGATCATAGGCCTGATTGAATCCCAGGATCACTTCAGCAAGGTTGTTCAATCTGCACAATTCCCACATTTCCCAGATCACTGCATATTTGAACTCTCCAATGGCAGTCTCCTTGTTGCCCAGGCTGAAGACCCTGAGCACAGCAGGTTCCTTTTTGTTGGATGTGAAGAGCATGAAGAGCCAGTGGACTTGTGGCATGGTGAAATGTTTGCTCTTGTCAATGAGCTTGAGCCCATGCCCAAACTTGTTGGTGGTGATGAAGACCACCACAGGGTTGGCCTCTTTGCGATACTGCTCCACCCTCTTTCTGATCCTGCTCATGGCCATGCCAAGACAGGGTCTGGGCTTGTCAAGAAGAAGATTCATTTGTGTGATTTCCAAGTTGGGGGTGTGGCGCCATTTTATGGGCGAGGTGGACCAATGATGACCATGTGTGGATTGTTTTCATGGACAAGGATGTGGACCAGCGACCCATGGATGCTCCAGGATCTTGTCAATCCCAATCCAGAAGTGTGGTGGTGTGTGCAGCATGGATGCCAGCAGATCACACACCTCTGGCGATGCTCCCCTGGGTGTGTGGTATCTGGCCAGGATGATGTCCCTTGCTGTGGTGTCTTTGTTCTTCCCACTGTGATTGAATGGCACTTCACTGGTGATCAGCGCCAACAGCAGGCACCCAAGTGACCACATGTTGGCCAATGGCCCTGCTCATTGACTGAGCCTGTGCAGCATCTCTGGTGGAGTGTAGTTGAGTGTGCCAACCCCCTTGTTGTCCATGGGATCAGATCCTCAATTGACAAATTGTGAGAATCTAAAATTGCACAACAGGGCATCACCCTTGGCCAACATGAGCACGTTCTCAGGCTTGATGTCCAGGTGCAACACGCCCCACTGGTGCATGTACTGTATGGCCTTGACCACCTGATGAAAGATATGTCTTGCCTTGGTCTTGCCCCAACTGCTGGTGGGCATGTAATTGCACAGATTGCCTTTGGGTGCATATTCCATGACAATGACACACAAATCACCATTGTTGGTGTGGAAGGTGTTGTAAGTGGTGCAGATGTGTTTGTGTGGCGACATGAGTTGTGTGATGTTGAGCTTGCGCCCAGTCAGCTGGGACCATTGTTTGTCATCCCTGTAGGAATGGTGTGAGATGACCTTCATGGCCATGGTGGCCATGTCCAACAATGCAATGTACATCTGGCTGAAGCTGCCACATCAACATGCGGTGCACAAACTGAGCAGTTGGTTGGCGTCGTTGTCAACACTGGGGGATGAAAAGTGGACGTGGACCACATCCACCAGTGATCGTAAGGCCATGCGCTTCTTCATTGTGTATGTGTGTGGAACGAAGAAAAAAAGTCAACATGTCCATTGTTTTATGGCTCCTCATCATGTCCGCGGGAGGGATAACTGTGCTCAAACTGACTGGTGGCTGATAGAAAAATTTTGTACTACATTTTGAAAGTTGGAAAAGAGACAGTTGTTAGGGTTTACTGGGCAGCGGTCTTGGCCGCTGAGATGATCTGGTCGCTGGCCAGTAAGATGGTAGGCCCACACGAAAAATCCAGAAGACGGATGCTTGTCGGCGTCGTCCTCGAGATCTTCCTGCGCAGCAACCGGGACGCGTACAGCGAGTCCGAGTACAACGCCCTGGTCAGATGCGCTCGGATGATCATGGACTCGGATGCGTGGAGTCGCGGCGTGCATCACATCCTGCTCGACGTCGACGTCGCCACGTGCATGGAGCGCATCCGAAGACGTGGCCGCGGTGGCGAGGATCTCATAAGCGCCAACTACATGCACACGCTCGACACCGCCTACCGGGACCTTGCGCGCACGACTCCGGGGATCACGGTGCTCCCAATCCGATCCAACATGGACCGCGTCGCCGTCGTAGAGCGCGTGTTGGACGTCATCGGTTCCAAAATCCAATAAATAGAGACAACCAACAAAAACGTAAAACTCTACAATGGAAGAACACAAGCGCACAAAGTACGGCAAATCAAAGTGGACCGGCGACGCCGCAAGTTACGATGCCGCCGAGATGAAGCCCCTCCGCGCCAAGCACAAGACGCAGCATGGCGTCAAGACGCGCATCAGCGAGTTGCGCGGCATGAAGCGCGATCATGAACGCGTCATCTTCGCCAAGCAGAAGCGCATCGGCGCAATCATTGCCGAAATCGGGCGGCTTGAAAAAGTCAGCACCCAGCTGCCTCCTTGATAGCACAATAAAACGAACACAGTCATATGCCCAGTATCGCCACGCACAACTTTGGCCATTGCAACAAAATGAGCGGGAACTATCAGAGCATCGCCGACGAACTGGCTGCCGTCACGCAGCGTTTTCACGAAACACAGGAGGGTCTCATGATCCAAGGACGCGAGATGAAACGACTGCAGAGCGAGCTGTCGGCCAAAACTGCGCGTGCGTGATACCTCGATCGCAAGGTCGACGAACTCACAGAGAGCAACCTGAAGTTGAACTCGGAAATCAACGGCCTCAAGACCCACCTCACCTTTTTGCATCACAAATATGGGATTTAAACAAATTCTAATCACACCAACAATAACAACAACACAAATAGATGGAGAACGACAAACTGGTGGAACGCATGCTGCGTGGGCACCGCGGCCTTTGCGCATCTCCATCAGTAGGCCTGGAGGCGATTTATGGACCCAACAACCAAATCATCAATGCCAAAATCGTGCATAATGGCCACATACTCACCACGCTATGCTTCTGCGAAGAGCGTGATTGTTTTGAGTGTTGGATAATGAGACGCTGCCACACACCCCAGTAAAAAACGCCACTGCATCAGCACACCCACGCCAAATGATCAACTGAATGGATGCTACATGCGCTGTGACATGGGTGCTACACTGAGCTTCATTGTCCTGCAGATCCTGGAGCAACTACCGATCAAGGAAGTCGAGGAACGAGAGCGGATCGTGAGGAACAACACGAGCGCGATCAAGCACTGGGGCGCCTTCGCGGGCATCGCCGGAGCGTCGGACAAGAACGCCAAGATCGCGGACTGGCGATCGGCCGACGCGTCCGGGATCATTCGCAACGGGTTGCGCAAGATGAAGGCGCTCGGTCTCGCCGGCATCAATCTCGCGCAGGCCGACGCGCCTCCGGTCCTCGCGATCCGGTGGCCCAGCCGCGTCAACCGCTCAAATTTTGAGGCCTACTTTTCGGATGACGCGCCGATCAGCGACGCGCGATCCGAGTGGCACAATCCTGAACCGTTCATGGCGGCTTTTTCGTCGGGCGGCAAACCGATCCCGCTCGTCTTTGTCAACGCAATCGTCGGCGGCGTTACGCGTGCGTGCGTGGTGCTGATCCGCAAGGGCAAGGCGCACTGCGAGATCACCGCGTTCGCGCCGGCCGTTACGTTGGCCATGGCCGTCAATCTCGGGCGAGCGCTGCTCTATGCCCTGCGCAAGGCACTCCAGACATCCGCGCGCGTTCGGGTGTGCATCACGACGCACTCGCGACCATCGGAAAAGGACGCCGTCAACGTATGGCACGAGAACTTTCTCGAGGTCGTATCAATCCCGACCATCCGATCCGAGACGTGGAAGCGCCTCGACGGCACCGTCCTGCCATCGCTCATCTACACCCATGCCCTCGCCAAATCGCCGCGTCCATCCTTGATGACGACCGCCATGAATATGTGCCAGAGCGCGCCCCGAGCTGACGTCGCAGCGCTCGCCGATATCTATGCCAGCACTCTTCTGTCATCATCAGCATAAAACCAAAGTGTTTTTATTGATCCATGGCAAAACCGATGTAGTTGTCGAGTGCGTGTGATGCCGCGATGGTGGGTTGCGGTCGGCGAAAGTACACGAATTCACCGACGTGCTCGTACGACAGGCTCGATCCGAGCGGGCGCGCGGGATCGACCATGGATGACAGCGGCGTCGTCGGCACGATGTCGTCTTCGGATCTCACCTGAAGGATCCTGGCGATCCGCGAGGAGTGGATTTGCGCCGCGAACGCTTGGTTGCCGACGCGGGGTGCACCAAAGGTGGTCACGTCGACGGCGCTGGCGATCGCCGAAGGACCCGATGCCGAGAGCCCACTGAGATCCGATGCGGCCAGGATCGACAACGCACCACCGAGACTGTGTCCGGTGATGAAGAGTTGTGATATGCCGTTGGAAACGATGGCCCGCCGGATGGAGGCGCCGATGCTCGAGTAGGCCTTGAAGAATCCAGAGTGGATCATCGGAGTCGCCGCCCCGGATTCTGCGACGGCAAACTCGTAGGGGACCTGATAGTACATAAAGTCTATTCCCCACTCGTAGGCGCTCAACATGCCACGAAACACGAGGAATCCGATCGTGGGATCGCTGGTCGATCGCCAGAGGATCACGATGTCGCCGACAGGATCCCAACGCAGCGAAAAATTGGCCAACCTCTCCAAGCCTCCCAGTGTCTCAATCCCAGTGCCAGATGCTGCGACCGCGTATACATGCACCACAAGATTCACAAGAAAGGCCATGGACAGCGCTTTCAGATCATTGAGCACAAGGATCACGGCGGCGGCCCAGCGATACCGCGTGCATTGGCCATTTCTCCCACGCCATCATAAGCCTCGGAGATCATATAGTACATGGCATCCACGGCCGATGCAATGCGGATGGCATCCCGCGCCTCCCTCACTTCATCCAAGGCCTTGCGCTTCATGACAGTCAAAATACCAACACAGTATTTTTATTCATCGCAGATGCACACATAGCGCTTGTACTCATAGGTGATAGGAGACACCTCAGTGTGTACCACGCCGCTCTTGGCATAGCCCACGTCAATCTTGTATGCATCTCCAGGTATATCAGGGAAGAACACATCCACCTTCTCAATGCCAGGGGCGCCACTGACGCTGGTGAGATAGATGGCCTCACATTGTGGGTGTAGCAGGGCTTCACGGTAGAGTTGGGCACCGCCAATGACAAAAACCTTCTCGGTCACAACACCAAGTTTCTTGAGCGCGGATCCAAGGTCACATGATACAATGACACCGGGCAGCGCTTCAAACGCGGGGTTCCTCGAGAGCACGATGTTCGTGCGACCCGGCAGCGGTCCGTTGGGGAACAATTCATAGGTGCGACGGCCCATGATGATCGCGTTGGTGGCCCCTTCAGCACGAGTCAGCGTGCGAAACGCCGCCAGCTCCTTGGGGATGTGCCACGGCAGCCGATTCTCAACGCCTATCGCATTGTTCTCCGTCGCCACCGCCACCACGATGCTGAACTTTGTCCTTGCCATTGTCTTCCAACTGATGTCACTTGGTCAAATACAGCGCCTTTATAAGGCCGGGTGCGGACGGCTTTATTTCACGCACATACCCACACCACAATGAACGACGTCCCGGAGGTATCCCTACATCAACTCAACAGGTCCAAGGACAAGGCCGTACGTGACCACGAATGGTACGGCAAGAAGCGACTGGCTGCCGTGTACGGGTGGATGGCGCTCCTCCTCAACGCGTTGGTCAAGGGGCCGGTGACCCTCTGCGGCCGTGACATCAACTCTGTCTTCTTCTTCTCGCGCTTATGCTCGGTTGCATCGGCCAAGATCGGCGGATTCCATCTCGACACGCGCGTCGAGATGCCCTTTGCCATGCCGTCGACGGGCGTGGACGAGTCGTTTGTTTCGGTCTGCCCGGATGCTCGCGTCGTGATCCGCCTCGAAAACTGCGATCGGCATTGGAAACGCGACGAAATGCGGACGTCGCTGCGTCGAACGATCAGGGGCCTGTCCAAGGACTGGACGCGATCGCTCAATGCGCAGCTGGCCGCCAGCCTCTTTGACTCACGCGATCTCTCGACGCACTCGCTCTACTTTCACAAGTTTCGCCTCGGTCGCGCAATCCCGGCCCAGGAGGAGATGGACATCTACCGCCGGATCTTTCGTGCGATGGGCTATGGCGAGGATCTCGTCGTGGACGATCGCTTCAACCTGCCCAATTTGTCCGGCGGCCTGCGCTCCCTCCCCAACCAATTCTACGTCTGGGTGCCCCACCGACACGAACCGGACTTTCGCAAAGATTTTGTTCGTGGTGTGTAATCATCATTTGAATCGCGCAACAAAGGTGCCTTGATAGAGATAGTCATCGGTGTCCATTCCTTCGGGCACAGGTTGTACGTCGATGAGGTCGAGCGTGGCATCGATTCCGCAGGCCGAGTATGCGTTCTCCATGTCGCGCAGCATCGCATCGTTGCCATTGAAGTCGGCCAACAAAACGCGACGGATCATCAGGTTGTCGGTCCACACGTTATGGATTTCGGATTCGGGCATCCACCTCTCGGCGTCCGTGATCCCCTCATAAACACCATCGAACGGGATCGACCACAATAAACACTCGTCGTGATCCATCGTTTGGTCGCATAATCGTGATTTTCGCACATTCATTTCGCACGAGCCAACATGTCGCCGGATGGATGGGCACGAGAGATCGCGCGATTCATGCCGAGCTACGACGAAGTGTTAGCAGTCATGTACGAGAAGATCCGACAAAATGGAACGGATTACAGTCCGTTGACCATCGCAGAACTCTACTTGGCAAGCTTCCCGCGGATCGTCAGCACATCAAGTGTTCCGCGTACTCCAGGACCAATGCCGTTCGCTTAAAATGGCATAAATACGCCTTGTTGTCACATTCTGGTCACCACCAACACCATGGCCACCGCCCAGGAACAAGCCACGCGTGCCATCGCAGCCTTCATGCGCACCAATCCTTCCGATAAGCCCGAAGAGCTTGAGAAGGCATGTGAGCGTCTCATCGACGCGATGCGCTTGGCCACCCCACGCAAAAAGTTGTGCGACTACTCGTTTGACGAAATGTGTGTCGAAATGGCCAAGCTCCTGAGCGAACCGAAGCCAGTCCATCAACACCAGACCGACAACATCCCGCTCTTCCTCTCTCTCACCGACGACAGAGCCTCATTTCGGTCCCTGATCCGCAGGCCCAACATCCGCGTCACCAGCCCCACCAACGTCAATGTCGTCGAGTGTCGACAGCGCATCACTTGCAAGGTCGATCGTGGCTCCAGCGTCGTCGTACCACTCATCTCCGATGCGAGGTGGTTCACCGAGCTGTGCTTCGGCATCCACAGCGTGCGCCTGGCCAAGATCGAACGAAAGGCGACATCCGTTCAAACCGACAACAACCCTATGAGCGGCATCCACGCGGCCACGATCAGCTACGGCCGCACGTCGTCGTCGGGCCACATCATCGAGCATGGCGCGATCGACGAGCTCGTGCGCAAAATGGGTCAGCTCTTTGCCGGACAAGATAGCGGTGCGGACAGATCCTACACGATGCTGCCGTTCGCCTCGTCTTTCGATCCGGATCGGTACTGGCTGCCCGTGCCAAAAGGCGACCCCGGTTGTTACCACCTCGAGGTGTCTCTCAACGGAAGCCAGTTCGAATCATTCGAGGTGGAGTTTACGTGCATGCTCTTCCGCGGCGAAGCGAGACCGACCCTCGGTCCTCGACTGGTGCTCCCCCGCGTCAACAGCCAATTCATGCTCGGCCAAACAGCATCGTGCTGCGACGGATTTTTCGAGGTCCGAATGCCCGTGGACGAGGCCGCCGGGTGCGTCGGCATGGCCTTGGCGGGCGCGTACGATCTGCGTCCGGGACAGCTCCTGGATGAGGCGGTGCTCTTCCACGGCGAAGAATCCATCATCGCATGGAGCGCCGCCTCTCTTCGCGAGGGATTCGCCCGCAAGATGGGCCCGGCTGTCGGCCACTTCACCGATGGGATCCACCTACTCGAATTCGGGCCACACATGTCCGATCCGCAACGTGCCATGAGCATCACATCCACCGATGAACCCCTCACGTTGCGCCTTCGCTTCGCCAAAGGCGACGTCGATACGAACATGGCCCTCGTTCGAACTCTTCTTCTTCAGATACGACGTATTCACATGCGGGGATGATGGAGTCAAGCAATTGAAGCTCGAGTGATCGCTAATAAAACGCGCGTATGAGATTGACGATTGGAACATCTTGATCAGTGTTGTCCTACATCATCGAACGTTGTCACACCATCCAGTGCTATGTCGATAGATCCAACATGCGTGCCTCGGTGTTGCTGTCTTCGCATGACAACTGATTCTCTAGTTTTTGCGTGGGCATCCGCAGTGTTTGCATTATTCGCAAAAGGGAGGAAGATGACCTATTGAAAAGGATTGATTCTAACATCACACATGCCGACATCGTCATCTTCCCCAAGGACCACCACAGGCCAGATAATCACGTGTAGTGTGTTTCGCTCCATTTTCCGTCTTTGATCGACGTCTTTGAGCGTTTTGTAGGCGGAACCGATCACGGTGGCTACAAGCGGATGGACTATGGCATGCTCCCGTTTGCCTTATCCTTCGATCCCAAACTTTACTGGCTGCCGATACCGGAGAACAGACCTGGAAACTACGAGGGTTAGGGTTTAGGGTTTAGGGTTTAGGGTTTTTTGGTGTAACCCCTAACCCTAACCCTAACCCTAACCCCAACCCTAAACCCTAAACCCTAAAGGTCAAGAGCGTGGAGCTGGATTTCACACTTAGCTGCGCTTTTCTCATCAACCAAACTAGGCGTTGAACAAGAGTGACAACACCACGCGAACCTGCCATCACACTGGAAGCCCCAGACAGCTGCAGTCACGGCCTGTGCAAATCCTTCCAGTTCAGGAGCTTCTCATTGGCTGTCTGCTGAGCTTGACATTTTGAGTGGTTCTCTTTCTTTAACAACAAACAATGACTATAAAATGGAGGTCCTCCAGAAACCAATCCCGCATCAGCTCGTCCGCCTTCCTCTTCACTGTCCCCTTCCTCCTCTGGCCTGTTGACTAGTGTCTGTCCCCCGACCTCCTCTTCCTCGCCTCGCGCCTCGCTCGGCTGCTCTTGCATGATTGCCCTCCCGTTGCGGGGTCACCGGTCCTCTCTCCCACGGGCTAGAATCCCTCGCTGCCCCCCTTCCTTGTCCTTCTCGTCCTTTTGTTTGACCCCCCTCGCGTCCTCCACTTCGTTGCCACTCGTTCCGCTCGCTTCCGGCCCTTGGCGTATAGTGGTCGTCCCCTCTTCCTCGCTGACATGAAGCGTCCATCGGCTTTCCTCCTCGCCCGCCGCGCTGCCTGAAGCCTCGGTCTCGTCCGCGACCACGGCCTCCGTAGCTGTCGCGGTCGCTGCCGCTCTGCTGCGGCTGACCAAAGAACGGGTCGCGTTCCATCATGTCGAACAGGGACGGGCTACCTCCGGACCCGATCACGAGCAGCTCGTAGACCACGGCCCGGACCGCCCAGGCATGGTTGTGCATGAGCTCTGGCCGCAGCGTGGAGGGAGGACTGTCAAAGTCGGGGAAGAGGCGGGCGACGACCTGATCTGGCGACATGTCGGCCAGCAGGTAAGACATCTCCGGATCTGGCGCGACATGATCGTCGGTCCAGGCGACCTTGTCCCCGTCCCACGTGGGGAACACCTCGTGGACTGTCCCTTTGACCCCGAGCCGGTGGTAGACCGCCTGACGCAGCGCGCGGGCGGCTAAGTGAATGTTGCCCAGGTCGCGCGTCAACGGCGAGGGTGAACCGCGAAGGTAGGCGATCGTGCTCTCGTCGGATGAGCCCCACTGCGAGTGCATGGAGGCGTTGGTGGCCGGCGGTGGCACGATCACTGCTCGCTCGCATGACCGGCTGGCCCGGTCGCTGGGAGGCCGCTCGGACAGCTGGAGCCGCTGCCCATGCATGGCGAAGGAGTAGAACACGCGGAGAGGCGGGGTAATGCCGGTGTACTGGTACATGTCACGATCGGCGCTCAGCACGGCGGCGGACCGGGCGAAGGCGTGCGCGGCGATGGTGTCGTCGTTGTCGGCCTCGTGGGAGTAGTGGACCCTCACGCCCAGGCGCGTGAACATGTCGCCGAACAGGCGATTGACAGCCTGCGGCACCTTCCTGGTCCTCTTCCGGCGACGAGGTTTGTAGCGCCGCTCTGTAGAGCCCGTCACGCTGGCTGTCGAGTGGTTTCTCCATTATAATGGAACTGTTTTATTGTGGAGTTTAACCTGTTGTCTTCATTTGCGCGGCGCATGCTTTTTCTTTTTCTTTTTCTTTTTCTTTTGGAGAAGTAATTAATTTACGCTTTTTATTGTTAACAAAAAACAGAAAGGCACAACAGGCAATGTATGCAGCACACTACCAAGCAAGGACCCCAATTGACGAAGACAACGAGCAGTACTGGTGTCCTGCTTGAAGACAGGAGCACAGTTCCACCTCAACAAGCACCTCAAGAAGCGAGGTCTGCTGTAGTGAATGCCCTGAGTGCTCCGCATGGTGGACCAGTGCGCACACCTATTGCCAGAATTATCAGGTACGTCCCCCAGCACAGTGCTGGGCCTTTCTTCTTGCTGATTTCTTCGTTCAGGAATGCAAGCTCTGCAGTGCAGAGGCGCACCCTTTTGAGGTGCAGTACAAGACAGTCAGTACGCAGAACCAAGGCGACCCAACCAAGCAGCACATGGCCGAATTATGCGAGCACTAGATTTTTTTTTATGTATTCACACATTGTCTGGTTGGCAAAGTGGTGAGTGGGGAAGGCCAAGTAAAATAGGAAAGGCCACAACACAACACACTACACCACCCAGAGAGCCCAATGGGCAATGGTGCACCAGAGCATCATGAGCACACTTGTGTGTTGGCCCCATAGATAGATGTTGGAACCAAACCGAACCTCCTGCATTACTCTGCACACCATTGTACACACACAAGGACAACACTCCTGAGTGCACTCTCCCCAAGTGCATTAACCATCCATCTGGGTACCCAGAATACCCTGACACCAACACCAACTATGACAAGCCCATGATGATGACGCCCTCCCAGGCCGGCCCCACCACCATTACGACCAGCACCAGCAGCGGCTTGCTGATGACCTCAAGACTGCCCACTTGAGCTCTCCAAGCTGGCCCTCAGCGGCCAACCGCTGGCTGAGCACGCGCCAAGGCAGCTGCGCTCGTGCCGCGTGGGCGGCCCTGCCGGCGATGGTCAGCACCCAGCCCTGGCACAAAGAGGCACGCCGGAAGATCAAGGTCGTCAACCCTGTGCATCCCTTGGGATGCGGCCATCTGATGCGCCGGAAGATCAAGGTCGTCGACCCTGTGCATCCCTTGGGACGCGGCCATCTGATGCAATGGCGGCGCGGGGCGGCCACCTCGCGCTCTTCCAGTGCTGCCTACTGCCACCTCGACCTTCTGCAGTGGGCGCGCACCAACGGCTGCCCATGGGACGACACACCTGTCTGATGGCTGCTGCCTATGGACACCTCCCCGCTCTGCAGACAAAGCGGTTGCCCATTGGGCGAGTGGACGTGCGCGCAGATGTACAACGCCGCGATCAGCTGAAGCGAACGAGGGAAGCGACAAGCTCGAATTTGGCCAAGAAGGGCGACGCCAGGTCCTCAACTACCCCAAATGGCGCTGTGGGCAGGTCCACACGCTTGACATCTGGGCCTAACTTGATGAAGATGCGCTTAGTCGCCAGGAGGGCGAGTCACTACGACAACAGCCCCTCGTTCAGCGACTTCAGGTCGTTCGGCGGCAGGACCAGGCCCGCCGTCAAGAATGCAAATCAAATTAAAAAATAAAAAATTCTCAAACCCCCTAACCCGGAGCGCACAAGCGCCTGCACGAGGATTCGATCCCCGAGGAGAGGATGCGCTCAACTACCTTGGCTGCCAGGAGCATTAACACAATTCACTATTTACACAGCAGGGGAACTGTTGAACATTGGGTTCACTCCCTCTGTGACGTTGTCTTCAAAGAGACTGTTGACGCCAGCTGCGTCGTTACCTTGGTCGGTCAGCTCTGAAACCAGTTCTTCAGGAGGCGGGGCAGCATTCATGTGTCGCATTGCCACATAACTAAGCACACACACACACACACACACACAGCAGCATGTCAGCAAACAGCGACACAATTGGGTCTTGCCAAGCGAGAGGAGCGTACCCGGCGGCGACGAGGCCAGCAACGGCAGCAACAACGACGGCGGCCGCAACGAAGCCGCCAATGGCAATAGCAGCCTTCTCCCCTAAAAAAGCCAAGAAGAATTGGCACAGGTGAGTCACACTGAACTCAGAAGAAGAAGAGAGGCAGCAAGGGGCGTGAAGGACGGTACCCGGGGTGAGTCCGTTGTCCGACACAGGCACGGGAGACGTGCAAGGGTTGTAGCTGTCCACCACGACCGTCCGTCCTAGGTTTCCCGTGGCGCTGGCCTTGAAGACCATGTCGATCTCCGAAGCGTTGGTCGGAACGGTGCCGTTCTCGAAGAAGATCTCTTGGCTCTTGAGGGTGCCGACGTCGTAGATGACGTCGCCGTTCAGCTCCACCACCACGTCGAAGAGATCGTTGTAGCCCCTGTCGTTTCGAGAAGGAGAAATTGATTGGGGTGAGTGCCAACAGCTACAACTCACTCCAGGGCAGGGCGCGAGCACGTACTGATTGGTGACCGAGACGGTGTAGTTCCACTCAAAAGGAGGAATGGTGTACTTGGTCGTGTTGAGGTCGAGCACGAGCTGGCGTCCGCCAAGGCAATCGGCATCGATGGTGAGGCCGCACTTGTGCAGCGCGCCGTAGGCAAAGTCCATCGACACGGAGTTGACCTGGTTGGACACCCGGGTCGTCGCCAAGAAGGACGAGTAGCAGGGAAGATAGGCGAGACCGGCGAGGTCCACCAATCCGTTCAGCAGGATGCCACCTAGCGCGCGCGAGAGCAGTAAAAAAAGTAAGTAAAGTGAGGTGAGCACCACCGGGGGGGGGAACAACGGGGAGGGGACTCACCTTCAAAGAAGTTGCGAGCAGGGATGGTGTAGCCCTGAGCAAACTTGCCGTCGTAGTACCACGGCGAAGTGATGTTCTCGTAGTCGTTGGTCACAGCACAAACGGTCTGGGTGGCATCGTCGGGGTTGCAGGCGGCTTTCGTGTCCGTGTAAAAGATTTGGCTGTTGTGGGAGAAACAAACCCACAGGTCAATAAACAGGTGGTGCGCTCCGGAGGGGGTCAAGTACCTCACGTTGCCACCACTCCACATGAGAAGCTGGATGCTGGCCGGCGTGCCACTGCCCTGTCCAGGGTAGTCCGCCACAATGAGCAAGTCGCCTGAGTTTGTGTTTGCGTCCACCCATCAGCCAAACTAACCTGTCAAAAAAAAAAAAAACCACTTCGGCTTACCGTCCTTGTGCTGGCCGTTGAAGGCGTAGGCATTCTTGTTGATGGCCCTGCCGAGGCCAAAGTTGGGGCCCTGAAGGAACCAGTAACCGACCGTGGCCGCTCCGTTCTGGGCCTCGCGGTCCAGCCCGAAGAACAGGGACACCTCGCCGGTCGAATTATCGGACACGACCGTCGCATAGGCGTTGAGGATGTTGCCCTTATCGTTGGTGTTGAGATCTGACGAACAGACCATACACGCACATTACACAGACAAGAACGATCAGCTTTGCCGCTTGGCTCTGGCCCCGCATTGGGGGGGGGGGAGAGATTACTCGGAGTCCACCTCCAGGAGGGGATGTCGTAGGAGTCCTTGGAGAGGCCCTGGAACCAGGAGGAGGGGTCCCTCTGCGCGCTGCCGGACTTTTCGGTGAAGTAGTCCTTCACGAAGACCGACGAAAAGGTCTCGTTTTCCAATTTGGAGTAGACCACGTCCCTGGTTTGTCGGATTTGCATTTACACTTTCACCTTAGGCTACGACCATGATGGTGAAAGCCAAATCGACAGGATTGATCAGGCGTACCAGTCGAGCTGGTTGCTACCCGCGTCAGCTGTGGTCTTGCCGTTCAGGGCAAAGCGTCCGGCGGCAATCGACTTTGCCTCCGAGAAAGATGAGAGGCAGCACAGGACCACCAAGACAAATGCAAACACAAGTGTATGGCTGAGCCTGGCCATCGCGGTTAGGTTCGGTTTGAGTGGCGTGTTGGAGGAGTTCGTTTGAGTGACTGTGGCCAGGAAGCCACAGATATGGACCTTGTGGGCGCCACATTTTCCCGCACCACGCCGCAGACCCAACCATTGGCGAGTAGCCGTGCGACGTGGTGTCCTTGGGACGAATGGTCCTTTTTTTTCTTCCTGGTCAACCGCCGGGGTTAACGTGGCGCCGGAGTCACCGGTCTGTTCTCCACCGGTCGAGTTAGTGCGGCGAAGGCAAAGTGAAGAACCCAAGGTCAGAGGTGTCCGACAGGGGACACCGAATCTCTTCATCTTCTTGGTGGAGCTCCAAGGCCTCGAGAGAACCAGAGAGAGGAGTTGGTGTCACACCACACGCGCTAGACCAGAAGCGCCTTGACCTCGTTCTTGAACACTGTCGCGTTCTGCGTGAACTTTTCGCGGTTCTTGGGCATGAGGTTGTCCTTGACGTCCGTCATGAGCTTCCCGAAGGCCTCGACGAGCTTCTGCCTCTTCTCGCCGTCTGCATCGCCCGACATCTGGCTGGCCACGAACTGATCTCGCAGCACGCTGAAGTGCGTCGGTATCAACAGGAGCAGACTGGATGCACGCCCGTGTCGTGTGTGTTCGAAAAAAAGGACACAACTCGAGTTAGCCTGTGCGTCATGCAGCACTCAACGCGTTGGTGTCTTGGGCGCAGCGCCCTTTACCTGAAGAGCGGTCGCGAGACAGCCCACTGATTGGCGTTGTCCTCGAAGAGTAGCGCTTGGAAGAGCAGCTCCAGCATCTGGGGCAACATCTCGGCGTGGCTCGCAGTGTGGGCGGCAAAGGACCTCATGGCAGGGATATCCTTCGTCTTGTTCTCCACCACGAACGTGAAAATGTGGTCTGCAATATACACACACGCACGAGTAAGCAAGTTAGCGTTCGAATGTGTGCGTGCGTTGGCCCGTAGAGCGCGCGGAGGGTACCGAGAGCGTCGCAAGACTGAGACGAAACAGAGGTGATGGTCGTAAGGGAACTCAGGCCCTCCTTCAAGGAGCTGAGGATCTGCACAAATACAGGAGTGTCGAGCTCGAGCAAAGCCGACGTGTGCATCTGGCAGAGAGTGCTGATGAAGGCGTAGTAGGCCCGCACGACTTTCGGATACGCCTAAAACCCGCCACAAAACAGGATGTCCTTTTGATTAGTCAAACGAAACTTAGGATGAGCATCATTCTCGAGTACTACTCGCGTACCGTCAGCTCCGGGAAAGGTATGGATAGAACGAGCTGCAGCACAACTTGCAGGGCGTTGGAGAGAGCAGGGTCGCCGTAGAGCGCAAAGACTCCGAAATTTACATAGTTGCCCAGGAGTGCGCGCGTGAGGACCACCATGCACTGCCATATCCCCTTGTACTTGTCCGCATAAGGGTCCTGCTCGTTGGGTGGATCATCGCATGCGATTCCCACTCAGATCAGCCGCGACAACGCTTGCCGCAAGTGCTAATGGAGTGGAGGTGAGGAAGCCAAACCTTGGGGTCGGCTGGCGTGTGCCGGACGAGTCGCTGGCCGTAGGCCACGAGCAGCTTGCTTGTCTCTCGAAAGAGGAGGTAGCCATCGGGGGAGGAGACGGGGAAAGAGATGCGGCCTGATTTGTTGTGGACCAACTCCGAGAAGAGCTTGAGCAGAGGCGAAGTGATCGCTGGCGTGTCGGCCCACACTTCAGCGGCCCTAACAAGCAACGGCGTGTGCTCCGGATAACTGGGCAAAAACTACCGTGAGATATAATAATTCAAATAATAATAATAAGGAGACTGCAAAGGAGAACGCACATCCATTCGAAGAAAAGAGTGTAGCCTCGTCGGCCTTGAATGGAGGTAAGTACGCCCAACAGGTCTCGCAACAAGAAGATCAGCACCCTCTAGTAGTAGTAGTAAGAACGGAGAGAGTGAGAGCAAAGCCCTCATACAAGAAACCAAAAGCGATGCACAAAGAAAGAAGGAGGTGCGGGAGAAAAGAGGAGGCCTGACCTTGTAATTCTCCTGTCGCAATGCTTCCGGATGCATGCTCTGCAGCGCGACTAGCTGATTCTTGAAGGGCTGCATGAAGGAAGCGAAGCGCACTGTGTGCGGCTCCATGAAGAGCATCCTTGACAGCGTGCTGTAAAAGGTCGTCCGGTTCCGCACGTTGCCGTCGACGTCCAGGAAGGGGAAGTGCTGCGACTGGAGATTGCATTCCAGGCATGAGTGTCCGGTATTGATCGCAACTTCAGTGGGTCAGGAATTGCAACTGAGGAAGGAGGATCGTTACCGTGTGATGCTCCAGTATCTCAACGACCACGTCCATCTTGCACATGATCTTGCTGCTCGAATACCTGCGTTGAAGAAGGGTATTTGATGTGAGCCATTGTTTGATAGCACTGTGTGTGTGTGTGTGTGTTAACCAAAGGGAGGGAAAGCCATGTACCCAGACGCAAGCTCGTTGAAAAGGGTAAGCGACTTGGTAACGATGCCGATGTCGGAAGCCCAGAACTTGAGGTTTCGAACGCTGCACCAGTGTAAGAGTTAACACTTGAACGGGAGTGTCCGAGACCAATGGAGTGCATAAATATTCGGAGCGACGGGCGTACATCTTGGTGATGATCATGTTCATGACCATCGCGTCATCCGCAATACCGATTCGCTCGGCCAGCCTGGCGTAGAGGCGAGAGTTGGTGGACATGGCCTGCTCGCTGACGTACATCTTTCGGAACTGCGAGACAAAGAACAAGAGTGCACTCTCCAGCCGTGGGTCGCCGCCTCTGCCTGGTGCGCTCTGATATACGTTGGTGCAGAAAGAAGTGAAAACAACACTCATCTTCGCCAAACGTCTCCCCTCTTGTGCTGCCCATGGCGTGAAGTCACTGAAGCGCGGTAGTACCTGCATCAGCCGTTGGTCGTGCAGCTGCATGAGCTGAAACACGCGATAGGAGAGCTCGCCGTCAATGGCATCATGCTCCTCGGTCTGTACGGGAGTGAAGCCGATACGTGCTCCGATCACGGCTCCCATCACGTACACCATCCACGCCAGTTGTCCTGCGCGTCCATTCACACCACGAACGTAAGTGTGTCGTTGTGTGTTGGGAGTGGTTCCCCTGTGTGAAATATTTCGCACTCCCTTAGGTTACCTTCAAGCAGTGATCCAGACGGCGAAGGGGGCTGAGTCGATTGCTGTCGCCATAACAACACCGATCGTGTGAGTGGCCGCATAGCTGTCTCGTGTGTGTGTGTGGAGTGCGAGTTTTTACCTGATACGCCTGGGCACGCGGATCAAACAGCGAAACGATGTGGCTGCTGGTCGTCGCGTAGTTGCAGCGCCCAAGGTACGGGAGAGCCTCCAGCTCCTCTTGAATGGGCTCGATGTTGCGGAGAGGATCTGTTGTTGTTGTTGTTGTTGTTGTTGTTGTTGTTGTTGTTGTTGTTGTTGTTGTTGTTGTTGTTGTTGTTGTTGTTAAAGTCGATTAGGCCAAGCCCGCTGTAAAACCAAAAGTTAGAAGAGTGGCCAGGAGGAGGAGGTGGTAATGGTACCGTCCTCATCAGTGCCGTCCTCGTCGATGTCATTGAGCATGGAGTTGACGTAGGCTTCCATCACGCGCGGCGTGAGCGAATCAAGGAGCGTGGGGATGTCGGTCTTCATGTAGGTCATCGAACTGACAAGACGAGACCACATCAGCAGCAGATTGTGTCCGCTGTGCGGCACTGTCTGCCACTCCTGCGAGGAGATAGGGCCAACCCTGGTTGTTAGTGAACACCATCACAAAAAGCAAGGATTAATCCTTTAAATATGACCAGCTCGAAGGGGAACGTGCCTTGAAGGTAGCGCATGTAAACTCGGCCACCAAAGTGATCCATTCGCTGTACTTGTCGTTGACAGCTACAAGCTGAGTGAGTTGATAATTGGACTTGAAGCGATAGAGCAGACGAGAGAACTCGTGGTGGTTGTCAACTTGCTCCAATCCTGGAGTGGCGAGGGCAAAAGAGCTGCAGTTAGATTGGGCGCCCTAAAACGACTCAAAATGCGTTAGGTTGGGGGGGGGGCTAAAGTGGAAGTTTAAACACCGGTTTTGTTCTTTAGCACGTCGATGGTCATCTGCATCAGGTTGGCGAGGTAGGTGTGCCTCTCGTCCTCGCTCAGAAAGAGGGTGCGGCGCACGCTGGCCATTTGCACAAGACAGCCCATCGCCTGATGAGAAAACACGCCAGGGAGGGCGAAGAGTCATCGTCAGCGCAGGTGTCCAGTAGCAGGCTCCTTACGTACAGTGGAGGAACTCGACGACAAGTATAAATCAAGAAAGAAGCGCAACGTCGACGCGCGTCCTAGGATGTCCCGCCATGAGGGCGAACCCATCCCGGTGCCCATCGCCAGGCTACTCCCCAAAAGCGCGGGAAGCAGCCCGAGGACCATACCGCGGGCGGGCGCAGGGCTTGGTGTGGCCTCCTCTGCCTCACTGCTACGCAGCCGCTGGCGGCCAATACCGCTGACGCCCGCCGCCGCGAGGCCTGCCAAGCCAAGTGGGGATCGTACGTTGGTAGAGACCGGCGGACGCGAGGCGCAATACGAATCGACGAACAGCCGCAGGGTGGCAGGCTCGTAAAGCACCGTGCGCCAGGAGGAAGGTGCTTGCACAGTGTAGACGTCTGAGGCGGACTCGTCCGGCGTAGTGCCGATGAAGTCGAAGGACAGACAACGCAGAGAGAGGCTCAGCGCTAGTTCTTTTAGCTTCTCTTCTGTGTGCGGAGATAAAGCAATGAGTTGGTGTGTGCGCGGTGCTTAAGGGCAATAATAGGAAGAAATGACCGGCCGCTGTATTGAAGCAGCGCAGGCGAGAGTGTGTACGTGCCTTCAGCACCACCAGGTTTGCTGAAAAGCTGGCGCAGCGTTGTCAGAGATAGTTGGAAGATGTCGAGAAGTGAGGTGTCGCGGAAGGAGATGCAGATCTTTCGATGCATGGTGGGTGTGAGCCCCCCGGATCGTGCGTTGTTCATCTCTTCTACCAGGTGACCCAAGATGCGCAAGCCCAGGTGGCAATGTGGCACAGACACCTGCATTTCCCCCATCCGAAGCCAGTAGAGGAGGAAACCATCAGCGCCGTGTGATCATGTACAACCCTCACGCATGCGTGAGCAGAGGAAAGGAGATTTTGTCCTCAAAAATAATAACACTTGACGTAGACCGGTGAAGTCGTACCTGTAAAAACTGCCCCAGGCGCTGCATGATCTCTTTCGTCTGCTCGGCATTCTCCATCCACGAGAGCTTGAGTACCAGACAGACGAGCTTCACCAACGCGATGGCCACGAAATCGTCGAGCGTGGTACCCTTCGTGCCCATCAGGTTGAGGAGATAGGTCCCTGTTTAGACACACCGCCCCAAGTTAGTAGAGCACCGATGCCGTGGGCTCAAAAGCGACCACTTGACAAGTGCAGCTGTGAAGCAGCACGTAGGGATGCATAGGCAAGTGTTCAAGCAACGCATCATAATAATCATAATAATAACGCATCATATCTAATAGTATAAATCGGATGATCGACGAAAGTAGAAATGCCATTTTTGGGCCGAAATCGCTCCTAAATCATATGATGCAATGAAAAATCGAGGAGGGGGGAGCGAGTACGGAGACCGAGCCGGGTTTGGGATGGCAGAGCGGGCCAATGATCGCCTATAACCTTGGAGAGGGCGGTGGCAGCGAGCACGAGCGCGTAGCGGGAAGAGGAGTGGTCCAACACGAACTGGGCCTGCGTAAGGAGGGAGAAGTCGAGCTTCGCTGGGGGCTGCACGAAGAGATGCAAGAGCCGGCCGGCCTGTTCCCTGTCTTGCGCCTGGTTGCTCGTATAAAGCTTCTCGCTGAGCGCCTCGAACGTCGCTAAATCGCTTGCATTCATCTTGCGCAATTACACGATTGGGCCTGCAACATAGAAGGGCATATACTACTGAGAGACATACAAAACCGGCACAACGGCAGCTCGCAACGGCCGAAGGTGGGGGCAATTCATTGAAAAAATGGACGTACGCGGGGTGGGGTGGTTGCGGCCCTAATCGCCACAGTCAATCAAGACTGCAGTGGGGTGGTCTGCGCAGACGACTTGACAATCGTGGTGTGCACCAGTGCCACAAACGCGGGTAGTAGTAGTGCAGCAGCTCTCCCTCAGCGTACGCGGATTTGTTCAGTTCAGAAAACAGGCAGCTCCCGCCAAAATGCGCGTTGTTTTCTTTTCGTATCTTTTAGGCCTTGCTTGCGGTGGTTCCTCGAACAAAAAAAAATGTGGGTTTTACTCTTTTTGGCTGTGTGAAGCTCCGCCGTTTTGCTCCTCCCTCTCGCGAACGGCTTCCTCGTGGTGGTCGAGTGACCTTCGCCGCTTCTCGGGCTTAGGTCCTTCTCCACCTCCTTCTTGGCTTCTGCCGGCATAAGAATCTGCTTCCGCACCCTTGGTGCCGATGGCCGCGTCATCCGCTCTGCTGCGCTTGCGCGAAGAAGACCCGCCGTCGTCCCTCTTCTCGTCGCTGGCAGGCCTGTCGCGGGACCGATCTCTGCTCCTTCTGCTCCGGTCGCGCTCCGAAGAAGAGCGTCCTCGCCTCTCCCGATCTCTTCCTCTGTCCCGCTCCCTGTCTCGATCCCTGCTGGTGTCGCTGCCCCTGTGTCGATCCCGCTCTCTATCGCTCCTGCGTCGACTCCTGTCTCCGCTGCGGCTTCTGCTGCGCCTGCTGCGTCGGCTCCTGTCTCGATCTCTGCTGCGGCTCCTGCTCCTGCTCCTGCTGCGGCTTCGGCCTCTTCCACCATGCCGGCTCGATCTGGCTCTCGACCTCGAGCGCGATCGAGAACGTGGACTCGTTCCTGCAGCTAGACACAAGCGTAGGGCACCACTGTGAGCGCCGAGATCTTCCTTGAACCATAGGGACGGAGCGGAAATAGTGTGCCTCTCCTCCTCCTCCTTCTTCTTCTTCTTCTTAATACGGAGATGTCTCGAGTACCTGTGAGCTTTTTCGCGACCCGCATGGCGGCTCGCTTCACGGCGTCCAATATCTGCTCGTCCTTGGCGTTGTCGACCGTCTTTGGGGGCTTTACAATGGGGTTCTTGGAGTGATTGACCCTGTGGTGTTCCAACCCCACCCGCCCACAACAAATAATTGGTGGTCTCAGCCGAATGAAAGAACAAAAGGGGAAGTGCAGCAGGACGTGGTACTTGACGGCTCGGTCCAACAGCATGGTGCCATTAAGCATCATCGCAGCCTGCGCGGCCTCCTTCGTGGCAAACTCGATGAAGGCAAAGCGCGACGGGTGAGACTCATCGCCGGCCAGGCGACAGAAAGTGATGGGACCGCAGATGGCGAAGAACTGCATCAGCTGCTCGGACGTTATCTGGATCGTAGACGTAAATTGTAAGCCATGCTACACGTCTTGTAAAGCAAAAGGGGAGGAGGGGGGAGAGAGAGAGAGAGAGAAAGAGAAGGTATTCGTGCTAACGAAAATTGATCGATGTATCGTGTTGTCGAATACCTGGCCCGGGAGTTGGTTTGAAATGATTCACTCCACGTGCCAGAGGATGAGGGTGTGGCTAATTTGTCCCCTTTGAAAGAATGTAAAGAGAAGAAGGAGAAGGAAAGCAAGGTGATAGGTCGAGAAGTGTTAATAACACTGGTGAGGCTGTCGGAAGAAGAGAAGGCAAAGAAAGAGGAAGAAAGAAACAATGACAGGGTGAGGAGAGACGTACCGTCGAGTTGACATTGCCCACGTAGATCGTGCGTGCGATCTCGTCCTGCTTTTCGTGATAGCTCTGCGCGTTGGCCGGGGAACCCGATAGCAGCGCAAGCGAGTGCGGAATGGCACCCAGGAGCCCGAGCCCCGAAGCTGCCCCGACTCCAGGCGTGAGCGCCAGGGGAGTAGGGAGTGCCGCCGTCGCTGCAGCCGCCGCTCCGCCAACGGGTATGTCGCTCGCAGCCATGACGATCTTGACTGGCATGCCTGCAACTGCACCGGTAGACAGAGTCAAGGCAGCGTTGGCCTGCGCCATGGTCTCGAATCGCACGAAGGCGTATTGAGAGATGCCGAGGCCGTCCCTGCGATTGAGCCAAGAGAGAAACCAGGTCCCCCCAGGTGAAAAATCGTGCATGGAAAAGAAGCCGAAAAGACAAGAGGAGGGATTGATGAGAGGAGCATATATACCCAAGCAGGTTAATCTGAACGATGTTACCGCAATTGGCAAAGAAATCGCGAAGATCCTGCTCGGTGGCCAATGGCGAAATGTTGGTCACAATCACAGTGGAGACACTGAATTGCGGTGGCACCGGTAACAGGCCGTCCGATCCTGGGTCGCTGACAGGTGTGCTGAGCAGTCCTTCCCCTCCCTTCTCATGCAATGCTGCCTCTTCTGCCATCACCGCGAACCAAGATGAAGGAAAAGATCTTAGCGTGAAGTAATTCCAAAAAGAAAAAGCAAAGAAAAAGCAGACACACGGCCACAACAACCGCGGAAGCAGCTGCTTCATTTTCATTTCTTCTTGTTGGCCACCATCTCTAGCAGGATACAGTCACCAGTGTCGAGCACATTCGTCTCGATATCACACAACGCGGAACTGAAGTTGAGGATGGCTCCTGTCTTCAATGAGAACAGATACAGTTTCTGTGACAGCAGCACATTCGCGAGTGTCAAAACACAGATCTTGTGGCCCATGAGGGGTGTGCGTACATAAGGTCCGTTTGGTCGGTTGTTGAAGTTCTCCACGCTTCCTGCTGACGCCACCATGTCGAGCACCTTACCCACGGACCATGTCCTGTCGAAGAACTGCGACAATTGGGTCCGGTTAGTAGTCGAGAGAATGGCGCCGGCAAGGACCATCGGTAAGTGGTACCATCATCTTCGGCTCTACACGCGAGTCGATCGGGAAGACCACCTCGAGGTAGTACCTCTTCTCCGGCGGGATCTTGTCGTTACCCTGCGGAAGAAAGAGGTGTTACCATCTCAGTCTCCTCCCTCAGGGGCATCGCGAATGTCAGATCCTAGGTACGATTGCTCTCTGGCGCATCCGCATGAGCTTGACTTTATCGTTGGTTTTGTTGGTGGTGCGCAGTTTGAGAAGATCCTCTATCCGACCCAGGACGCTCCTTTGCTTGTCGAGCTTCTCCTTGGAGACTGCCCTCAGCTGGACCGTTTGTTTGATTGTATGTATTGGAGGGTGCGCAGCTGTGATGCTACTGTGAAATCGAATGCAAGAGGGATAAAAAACGGAGCCTACCTCAACAGGCGCACTTGGGTCGCGGGGGCATTGATGCTCATGAGGAGCTCGATGTCTGCGTACAGCCCGAGAAGAGCGTGATTGGTAAACGATCTTGTTTGTTCGAAGAGTCAGGAGGACCAAGTGGCAGTCAAGACATAAGGAAGGAGTACCCGGTACAAAAGTTCTTCTTGCAGTAGGGACAAATGATGGGCACCAGCTCGCCACCACGGCACCCACGAGCCGAGCATGGGTTGGACCGCTTTGGCTTCTGCCCCTCCTTGCCGAGCCCCGTGGGAGGGCAGCCGGCATTAATGTGTGCATCCACCTGCTCGATCAACATCCATGACCGGTGCCAGAGCAGCAGTCAGTCTTGTGTTACACCCTAAATCGCTAGGGGTGGCCGTAGCGGAGGAAGTGGGAGGCCAGAAGCGCGTGGAGAGCAAGCACGCATTACCTTGACGTTGACGTCTTCCCCGGGTCGGACAGGGATGAGCTCACCACACAGGGGACACGACGGCACCACTCTCTGCAAGCCCCCCCCCCCACCAAGCACGCAACATGAGCAGACGAAAGAGAGTCGCTCACCAAGAGCTGGTTGGGGGGGGGGACAACACTACGCACGTTCTTCTCTGCCGAGGCAGCGCAGTTGTGGTCCTTGAAGGTGCGGTGCTCAAGGCAAAAGACTTCGTGACACGCCGAGCACTCAAAAGGCAAAAAGTCTGTGATGCTCATTTGCATCCATCCACGATTAGCCTGCAGGCTTCCGTGAGCAAAGGAGGGAGGAACCTAATTGCTTGCATTCCGGCATTGCACAGTGCTCTCCAAGATCTGGGAACTCCATCTTGTGCGGCGAGTGAAAAATGAGATAAATAAAATAAAATAAATAAAAATGCAAGGCGGAGAATGCCAGCTATTCCTTTACTGTTCCTTGGCCACGTGCTGAGGGCCACACAAATCGCGCGAGGACCGACTGGCGTAGGCGTCGCGGAGGGAGGTGACGCTGCATTGAGCAAGGAAGGCGGCGGCTCGCTTGCGTTGCTCCTCCTCCAGCCGCTCCTTGGCGAGGGCGCTCTCGTTGCTGCTGCTGCTGTTGCCGCTCCTCTTCCGCACGAGCGCACCCGGTTGGGGCGCCTGCGGGTAGAACCGCACCCGGCGCGTCGATCGGGGCAGAAGCAGGAACCCGTTGTCGCTGAATCGACCCTTCATCGCCGCCGACTCGAGGAATACGAACGGCACCACCGCCTCGTCGCTCTCGTTCACCACCTCGAGTCGGATCGCATCTTGCTGCCGGTGGCCCGACCCCTCGTCGTCTTCGGCGTCGCCGCTTTCGTTCTCACCGTCTCCTTGCTGCTCGTCTTCCTTCTTCTCCGCATCGACCGGTACCTTGCTGAGATCGTTAACGTCGGCCTCAGCGGCAGACGAGGCTATCTCTTCCTCCAGCTCGTTTACGGAGCCCGCTTCCTTGCCCTTGGACACCTGGCGCAAGGTCTTGGCGACCACGGGCTTCGGCTGCTCAGGCCGGAGCGAGAGCCGAGCGGGAAGCAGCCCGACCTGTACACCATGCGAAAGACGTCTATTACTAAAAAAAGAATGATAGGAATTGCGGGCAACGTTGGCGTGCGTACGTGTTTGAACGCAGACAGGAAGTGGACGTTCTGGCTCTGCCACTTGAGACTTCGCTCCTCGGTGGCCGCCGCGGTCTCCGACGTGCCACTCTCCGAGGAAGACAGCGAGAGCAGCAGGAAAGACTTGGCGCGCTCCTTCTCCTCCTCGTACAGCGAGTTCTACGCCCCCCCCCACAGCCACAAATGTGAGATGCCCGACGTGGGTGCTGATCAGTGCGGTGACCCACCACCCAGGCAGTTGTACCGTTTTGAGGAGGTCTTTGACCTTTCGCTTCCAGACGGCCTTGCTGCAATGGGGCTCGGCCTTGAGGCTCTCGTGCCATTGACCGATTTGCTTGCCATGCCACGTCCACAGCTGGACGGTAAGCGTGAGGGCGAGAGTCGACGCAAGGTCGCTCGTTACCCAGACTTCGACCTCGCCATCGGTCGTCTCCAACGATGACACGAGCAGCGGCGCGAAGAAGTGGCGTGCATAGTACTGCAGCACCTTCCATCGCCCGTCGTACTCGATGGACGACCAACTCGGCCCTGTACACACGAGCCAGCAGTCAGCATCATTATGTACAACCTAAAGTTCGATCACCGCAAGGCGAAGCAAGGCGCACCTTGCCAGATGTCGTTGAGTTGCCAATAAACCACGCCCATGCATGTAGGCTTACACCGGCGCCAGTGTTCCGACGCGGTCTGATGGCGTACGGGTAAGGGTTGGTTATTTAGAAAGAGTTTGTGTTGGTTCGTGTACGGGGGAAGAAAAAGAGGGAAAGGGTAGAGAAAGAGAGACGTGCAAAGAGCGCACCTTGATGGAGAGGGCCTGCAGCACTTGGCTCACGTATACAAAGTTCTCGAATGAGTTGGGCATTTTGAACTGCCGGCAGATGTGCTCGAGTATTGCTGGTTGCATACAAGCCATGGAGCACACCACAGGTCAGTGATGGGCTCAACTAAACCTAAGAGATCGAGAAGATTCCACGAAGCCGTTGGTACCTTTATTTCCCATTGCCGGACTTCGTTGTCTGAACTCCATCGCAGCGCTGGTCACCTGTACAGGATCGCGCTCAGTCTACACGTGCGACGCAGACATGTGGGATTGGGGAAGGTAATGGAAAGAAGATGTGAATGTCCGTACGTTGAAGTCCTCATCGGGATCGGCGATCACTTGTCGTAGGGTGGGCACCGACGGAAACGATTGGAACCCGAACTCGGAGCAAAAGCGGGGGCACACCTTGAGGTACTCTGAGAGCAGTCGACCACCCCAAGAAAGGCCGCGCGATCAGCGGTCAGAAAGCTCCAAAAGTGGGCGCGTGAGCGACGCACCTGAAAACGGCTTATTGCTATGCCACACCGCCCAATAGTGCGAATCACCTTTGCTGTGGTCTCCGGCCTGGATACCAGACCGACACACGAGAAAACACTTGGGTGTGAAAAATATTTCTAACCAGCGTACCTTCAAGATAAACCGAGGAGCCATGAAGAGCACGCACCTTGCCCCACTTGTGCATTCCGTTGGAGGGAGAGGAAGGCCAGAAGGGAATAGTGCCGTGCGGGTCCTCCAGCGCGTAGGTGGCGTGTACGGTGTCGTAGTACAGCTTGAAATAGTCGCACACGTACAAATCCCTGCATGACGTGGCCAGAAACGTCAGGTCAGCGGGCAAGAGGAACCAAGCAAGCTTCCACAAGTCTTTTCTTTTCCCAGGCACCTGTTGCTCCGTGACTCCTCCCAGAAGTCGAGCGCCTCTTCGTTTTCGTTGTTGCCATACCACAGCACAATGCTGCAATGTCGGCTCAATCGCCGCTGCGCGAGACAGTGGTGTGAGTGGTGGTAGGGGATGCGAGCCAATAGACGCGCGAGCACTTACCAGCTGGTACTGCACTTCCTTCTCCACATTTTGTAGGAAGGCTTTCGTGGTCGGGTACAGGGAGCACGCAAACATGAAATCGTGCAGAACCATCAGACCCAACTGCGCGCAGGACAACCCACCGGTGGTCAGACCATACACCAAGGCCCTTCAAGTTAAAGCTGATAGCACGAATGCGGAAGGATAGAGGCAAACCTTGTCGCACAGCTCATAAAAGTAGTGCCGCTCATACATGCCGCCACCCCACACACGAATGCAATTCATGTTGGCTGCGGCTGCGCTCTCCAACAGTCCTTTGAGACGCTCATCGAGCACTCTCCCATCGAAACAATCCCTGCATAAGAAGAAAGGGTTCGAAGACTTAGGCAATCGTCTTCGTGTAGTGCAGGGGGTGAGTCAATACGGAGGTATCCAGTTGGCTCCCTTGGCAAAGACGGGCGTTCCTGGGAGCGAGAAAGCGAGTGTGTCAACCAATTGTCCCATGGCGGAGGCGGGTACACGTTTGAGAGGTGGCGTATGGTATACCATTGATTTCGAGGTAAAAGGACTCGCCGACGTCATCTGGCTTGGTCACGAGTCGGGCTTGTCGCAGGCCCAGGTCCACGCACAGTCGTCGTTCCTCCGACTCGCCTCTGACCGTAAGCGACAACTCGTAAAGTGGCTGCCATAATAAAACAGTGTTGGCCCTAGGAGCATGAACACCAGTGACGCCGCAGCGTAATGAACCAGCTGGCGTGGAAAAGGGAGAAGCTCGTACCTGGTCGCCATAGCCACGGGGCCACCAGAGTGCCGGTTTGCTGACCTCCATTTGGAACTTGACCCGGTTCTCCCCTGCCTCCAGTGCGCTCTCTTTGAGCAACACTAGCAAACAAAGAATACATGTCAGTGTGTGCAAGCTCAGCCCAAGAACCCCACAAGTTTACGAGAATTGCAGGGACGTACTGATGGGGACAGACGATAAACTGGCAAACTCGTCCTTGAGCTTGAGCTCAAGCGAGAACACGGCATTCATCTTATTTACAGCGGTCAACTGTTGGCGCATGGGGAGAAGGAATGGCCATTACGCGTTGGTAATGCACGTACCAACATATGGAGAAGTAAATTAATCGTGGCAGACTGTGACGTGCATACCAGTAGGGAGAGATGCAGCGTGACGAAGTGCTTCTTGAGGTTGTGCACTTGATGACACGTGAGCGTGCTGATTTCTGAGAACTCGGAGAAGGCCACAAGCCGGATCGGTCGCTGGATGCCGCAGGGCACGAAACACGGTCCCCAGTCCCATCCAAAGTCGCAACCTCTCTGCAAGGCAGCACCACCACCACAAGCTCAGCTTGAACGACTTGCTTGAGAATGATGGTTGTGGTGATCACACGTACCTTTCGGATCCATCCTCTGTTCTTTTCGCCGTAGGTGTACTCCATCTGCAATCGCAAGAGAACAACACATCGCATTGGGCGTTAGCCGTAAGAGTGAGGGTGAACTCTTAAGAGAGCCTGGACGCACGGAGGGCACTGGGTAGGGCGAAGTGCTGGCCTGCTCCTGGCAGTAGTCCACAGCGGACGAGAATTCAATCTCGATTTCGTTGTCGCCCTCCACCAGGATTGGCTTGGCCCGCGTCTGCACCGATGACGAGGACCCCATGCCGCTGGTGACCACCGGCACGGCCGAGCCCGAGCCGGACATCGAGCTGACCGGGACTGCGGCGGTCGTCTGCGAGTTGCTGCCGCTGTGCGTCGAACGCTGATGGAGCGTAAACACGTACTGCCGAAACATGTTCTCAGTTGTGCCCACTTCGCGGCCGTTCACCTTCACCTTGGCTGCAAATAGAGAGACACACCATGCGGTGATGAGAAAGGAGGTTTGGAGCAGTTGTCGCGCACGCCAAAGGAGTGTTGTGGTGCTACCCAAGGTGTCGAGTCCCTCACACACGAGCTGCACCCGAGAGTGCGTCTTGAGGTAGTCTGGGGGAATGACAAAGGTGCGGGCGAAGATCCAACGGCCGTGCACCATCCAGCGGTAGTCCTCTTCGCCTCGCCCAGCGTACAAGTCACCAAGCAAACCCGCTTGCATGAGCCCTGCATCCACGCAGCGTGCAGATTTGGGATGATTTAATTGCAAATAAAATAACACAAAACAAATAAGATCGCAGCTGGATAACCTGCCACGATAGATGGAGGAGAGCGGGACGGCCCCAACTCTTATAAGAGGTGCAAAAAGTACCTGTGTGGACATCGCACGGTACACTGATCTTGACGCCCTCTTGCAGCTTGGCCAAGAGATCGGGAGAAGGAGCAGGATGCCGGTTGAGGTATTGCTGTTTGAGGTGCTGCTCGCGTTTCTCGCCTGCCAGCTGTTGTGGTTGATACCGCAGCGTCCACTCTCCGGCCAGATCCATCGTGCCTCCCTCGATTTCCATTTTGATTTCAAGTAATCCCCCCAACGCTGCAGCCGTGCACGCCGCGAACTCAGCTCAATCCAAACTCCACTTTGCGCGGAAGATGAAGACGAGAACAGCTGGCTCGCGAGAGAAGCCAACAACGCGAAAACGAGGAAAGCTGCACGAATCCTGCCCCCCTTTAGAATTTTCGCGTCTTTTCCTTTGGCCCTTCTGCTCTTGTCTTCTTTTCTCTTTCAAGCTTGTTGTTGGCCATCCCGGCGTGCCCCAAGGCACGAACCGCGAGCAGCTCTGTTTTATTCAATCGGGATGACGATCTCTTGGCCCAGTGATGTGGCGGGCGAGGCGGCGGACGAGGACGAGGACGAGGACGAGGCCACGACGTGATCGCGTATTCTCTCCTTGCCGGGTCCCTCGACTTCGACCTCCTCGCTGTCATCAATCGAGACGCGTTGACCAGCGCCACTGTCCCGCAGTGGTAACGTCGCTTCTGCGCCTTCGCGACCATCCCGCAGACGATCCCAATCGATGTCGAGCGTCGTTCGCTTGCCGTAGTGGTCGGTGTACTCGAATACGCCCTCCGTCACGATCTTGATGTGCGCTCGCTTCACCAAGGGCTTGCGGCCGTTGATTCTCTTTGGCATCAAGACGTGGTCGATGTCGCACAGCTTCACCTCTGCACATTTTACATAGTGAGTCTGGATCGTCGTGCAGGTGCCCACTAGCGACGCCGTACCAGTGGGGAAGAGTGTTCGGTAACCCTTCATCTCGATGGCGGATCCTGCATGATGGAGTGGCCAAGGCGCTGTCAGTAACCAAGATAAGCTAAAAGTCACGTCACGAGGCACGAACCTGGAATAAGCTTCTCCACGAGACCGCCCTGGCCATCGGACAAACCGGTGAGCTGTCCCACCAGATCCACAATGCGTATCACGTTCAGCTCCCCGAGATCCGCGGACTCGCGCTTCTTCTTGTCTTTCCCCACGGCGACCTGACGAGCAAGCTCCTGCTTGAGCTCAGCCTCCACCGTCGCCTCCTGGCCTCGCGTACAATAGAGACGCACACACACAAAAAAACGGTGTGAGAGATGCCAGAGTCGAGGAGTAGCCATGTACCACGTACCAGGGTGTCGCTCGGTTCCGTTTCCTTCTTGGTCACGAGGGTTCTGAGCAGGGCGAGAAGTGCAAAGATGTCCATTTGCCAGGGAATGTCGATCCTGTTGCCCCGCGATCTGTCGGCCCGCTCGAGATCCTGGGCTTCCTTCGTGGCGCCCTTTACGTGATAGCGCTCCCAGGCCCTCGCACCCTCGTCGTACCACAAGTCCTGGATTTGCAGGATAATCTCTCGGTTGCGCTCGCGGGCCAGCCCTTCGGGCGTCTTGTCGTAGAAGTAGTTCTGCATGCCGTACTCGTCAAAGATCGCCTTCATTACCGACCACTCGTCGTTGAGTTGAAGCTTGCCGGTCTTTGGATCAGGACTGTGGAGGCCCAGATAAAGTGCGTGAGTACTCACTGAGCTCAGGAAAGGAGGACGACAGACTCCTCATGTACCGCGAAGACACCGGGCCGAGGTTGTAGTCGCCCATGAGCATGGACGCCACGATGATGTCCTCTGCACCCAGGAACTTTTGGTTGTAGTATTTCATGAATTCCATGATGGCACGGAACTGGTAGGTGTGAATGCGCATGTAGTGACCCGCCTGAGCGTGCGTCGTGAAGAGGGTGAGCTTGCACTTGCGGCCTCCGATCTCGCCCAGCACGACTGCGAAGTGCACACGATAAGGCAGTGCCCGGACCAAAGGTTGAGGGAGGGTTGGGCACATGAAGAAGAAGGAAGAGTACCAGAGCACCCGAGTACGCCCTGTGACCACAAATTTGATAGGTCACGCAGAGTTAGCAGGAAGCAAGGGCAGGAGAATAGGTGGGCCAAAGTGACGGTGAGCGCACCTTGCCAGCCAAGATATCATCGCGCGAGGCGACCGAAAATCGGATAAATTCGGGGTCAAGCACGGGATAGCGCGACGCCACAAAGAGACCACTGTTGAGCCGATACGGCTTGGGATCCACGTCGCACAGGACCCACGGGTAGGTGGCTCCTGCTTCGGTCAGCCGCCTTCCCGCCTCTGTGCTTGGGCGTCAAACGGTTGCCCCCCTTTTGGCCCACCAAAACTGCATGCATATTGCGACGTACCGACGCTGCTCTCGCCGTTCAGTTCCGCTGAAACTGGCCGACGTATCTCAGGCTTGCCTGCTCCGATCTCCCTCAACTGCCAAGCATTCCGGAAAGGGCTGAGCGACTCATAGCCATAAAAGCGCGTGGTGGCAAATGGCCGGCGTACCACTCTATTGATGACGGTGAGATCGAAGAGCTCCTGCAGACAGATGATGTCGTCACGGCCGCTCTTCACATCTCGCAGCATTGCCGGGGCGCGCTTGGGCGGGATGGCGAGACCATTTACTGGACTCACGTGGGGAATGAAGCCCAGGTTCTGCGTTCGCAGCACCACCCTGCTCGGTGGGCGGTTGGTTCTGATGATCCCACGTCACAGCAACGTGAGTTGGGAGGTGCAAGATCGAGAGGGCTCCTGAGTGAAGTACGTACGCAGCGGCCTCGTAGGCTTCGTCAGGTGGTCGTACAAAGGTGAGGTCCTTCTTGCCCGCAGCGACAGCAGTTGCGCGTAGCAGGATGCCAAAGGGAATCAAGATGAGGGCGATGGGGACCATCAAGAAGGAGAGAATGCCTGTCACGACCCGTAACAGGAACTCCATAGACGCGCTGTTCATCTGGCCGAAGCGACCTACCACAACGCCCCCACCGGTTTGAGCTGCAGCACGCACGCCGCGCTATCCGCAACACGCGCGACACGCATTGGGGGGGGGGCACGTACCAGGAGCAAAGGGGCAGAGGAAGGAGCGACAGAAGAAATAGACGAGCGTTGTGGTGGGCCAGGATAGCACACGACCCACATTGTACGTGGCCGACCAGAAGGGCGACGAGAACAGGTGTCCGTGGGCATTGTAGCGCGATTGTGTCGGCCCCGAGACTTGAACCGGGTACCCTGCGATAGAGACGTGTGAACAAACGCGGACAAAGAGAGGAAGGAGAAAAGAGGTGAGAAGGGGAGGGGGGGAGGCACCTGGTATGTCGCTTTCGAGCACCAGAGGTTCCCAGTTGGCTGCGGAGGGGGCACTCGTTGTTGTTGTTATTGTTGCCATCGTGTGGCAGACTGAAATAAAAATAATAATGGCTGGTCGAGGACTAAGGTAGCACACAAATGCAGGAGAGGAGGGATGCAGCAAGGAGCTGCTTGTTTGTGGTGGTTGCTGGTGTATTATTGAAGCTGTGGAGTGCAGACAAGCACCAACAGTCCCTCTTCGTGCCGGAAATTCCCCGGATTCCAGGCAGGCTTCGACCAGAGATGGCCTGTTGGCTGCTTGTGTGATGAGGTCAGCTGGTGGCAGGAGATCCACCACGTGCAGTGTAGCACTGAAGTACTGAGGTCGTCCTTGCCACCAGTCGTTTCAGTCGGAGTTGGGGGCGGGAAGGGGCGGGCAGGGCTATGATTGTTGGATACGGCCATACTGCGCAGAAAGCACCGCTTCCCATCCGAACAGCGAAGTTAAGCTGCGCCAGGCGGTGTTAGTACTGGGGTGGGCGACCACCCGGGAATCCACCGTGCCGTATCCTTTTTGTTGCTCACCACTACTGGTGCATTCACCCTCTTTTGGTGGTTGTTCACCCCTCCCCAATAATCAAGCGAAAATTGTTGATTGTTATCTTAATAATGAGGGGAGGGGTGCCATGCAGGGGTGGGTGGGCAGGGGAGGGCCAAAATCAGTTGCCCCCATTTTAGGGAACCAATTTAAATAAATCCAGAATACTCTTCATGAATTGAAGAAAGATGTGGAGTATCCCCATCAAGACAGTTGAGGACAGGGCAGTCAGTGATAATATCACTTGCCTAGCTCATCCCTGCCTAATTCCACTGGTGGATGGGAGAGTGCAATATTGATATGCTAGAGTGGTACTCTCAAGTGATGTTGTGTGACTTTAAACCAAGTGTTCATGAAAAAGGGTCAGTGACCCTTTTTGCTTAGCACAAAAATCAACTATCTGTACAAAAAAGGCCACCATTTGGCTGTTTTTTGTGAGGTTTGTGTACAGATCCAGGAAAGCTTGGGAACCATTTTCAGAAAATGACAGAAGTGGAGGATGTTATTGAAGATGGAATGACAAAGGCAAAATCGCTTTTTATGTACAGATTTCCCATCCAACATGTGTTGGCTTGCAATTTTGCCGAAATATGTGCATTTTTAAGGTCTTTCTTGCATTTTCTACACATTTTCCATTCACATTTCACAGATTTTGTGCATTGAACTGGTTGAAGTGTACTGATGACACCAGTCTGTTTCTGGAGGGTGTGCAGATACTGGTGTTACAGCCCTGACAATCTGTACATGCTGCCAGATAGTTAGTGAAAAAGAGTCACTGGCCCTTTTTTGTGAACACTTGGTTTTTAGGAACAATCATGATCCTGTAAAAATGGGATTAAAGTAATTTCATTGGCTCAAAAGTGAGCATCTCTTGTTCTTTTGTGGTTGATTTCAAGAAATTACAGTTCACTTGGTGAGAACAACTTTAATGAAAGAGTGTGGTTGGATCAGCAAATGGAGGCATTTGCACATGCATGTCAGCTATTGTTTTGGTGGTTGATTGTTAGTGGCTGTACCAAAAGTGACCTATTTGCATGATTATGGTGCCTATCATGAACACCTGGATAGCTGAACTCAGCCTAGTTCATCCTCTAGAGCCTTATGCAATGCAATTGCCAAGGTGAGCAGGGGATTGTGTGATAGCAGCTAATGCTGTGAGCTAATCTCATAGTGCTTTGATTAGAGAGAGGGTGACAGAGTCAGCAATGGGTGGTTGGAGGGAATGGGGTAGGTGAGTTGGACAGAGATGGTGTGGGTGAATGAGTCAGTGATGGGCTGTTGGAGGGCAACTGCATGGGTGAGTTCAAAGGGGCCTGTGTGGACAACTGAGTTGGCAATGGAGTCCTTGTTTTCAAAAGAAAATCTACAGTAGATCTTGTGAACAACCACCAAAAGAGGGTGAATGCACCAGTAGTGGTGAGCAACAAAAAGGATACGGCACGGTGGATTCCCGGGTGGTCGCCCACCCCAGTACTAACACCGCCTGGCGCAGCTTAACTTCGCTGTTCGGATGGGAAGCGGTGCTTTCTGCGCAGTATGGCCGTATCCAACAATCATAGCCCTGCCCGCCCCTTCCCGCCCCCAACTCCGACTGGTGGCAAGGACAGCTTGGGCCGGGGGCTGTACACCACATGTTGCCGACCACTGCTCGTGCAAGCAGAAGGACCTTTTTTTGCGCCGTTTACGAGTACCTCGCGCCGAAGGTTTGCCACTCTCATGACCACTTCGGCCTCGTCCCACGTTGATCCGCTGGTGCTGGCATGTCAGCGCGACTCGTACACGCGTGAGCTCCAGACCCGTGTCAAGGCCCACCAACCCACAGAGGGAGGAGTGCTAGTGGAGTTCGAGGACTCCATCCTCTTCCCTGAAGGTGGCGGGCAGCCTTCGGATGCCGGCACCGTACACCCCTCCCCGGTTTTTATTCTCTCACCGTTTAATCTTTGGAAAGATGGACTGAGTAGTGTTGCAGGTGGACGGAGTGCCAGTGGGACAGGTGTTCCGGCATGCCGACGGACGAGTCCTGCACGCCCTGCCTTCCGTACCGGCCGACCCAAGCAAGGTGGTATTGAGCGTCGATTGGGGGCGCAGGTTCGACCACATGCAGCAGCACACTGGTGCCCGTCCCTACCTAACGTTCGCTTGCTCCTCTGATCTGTGATACCCACTCACATGCAATCATCACTTCAGCTCAGCACCTTATCTCTGCGTTGGCCATGTCCCGCTTCAACGCCGACACCGCCTCCTGGTCGTTGGGCAAGGAGCTGTGCACCATAGGTAGACACCTTCCGCTCCACACTACCTTGTCTTCAGGTCTCTAACTGTGTGTCGCGTGTGTCGCGTGTGTCACGTGTCGCGTGGGCAGACTTCAACGTCCCCAAGATCAGCCAGGAGGACCTCGGCCGCCTTGAAGAGCTTGTCAACGAGTATGAGCCACTTCAGTCGCTCCCGTGTGTTGGTGCACGCTCTGGCTGCTATTCTCTGATTGTAACGCGCACCTATACAGAGAGATCAGACAGGCAAAGCCGGTGCGATGCCACGAGGTGCGGACTGATGAGGACAAAGCAGCGTTGCCCGAAGCCGTGCGTTCTCGAGGCCTTCCCACCAATCTGGGCGTCATCCGGCTCATTGAGATTTCTGGGTGCGCGCATGTCCACACCACACCGGCACGAGAACCCTTAAACACGCATCGCTCCTCTTTTAATATGCGCGCTGATACAGAGTGGACATGAACACCTGTTGTGGCACGCACGTGAGCAATCTGAGCGAGCTGCAGATGATCAAGTTCGTTGGCACAGAGCCCAAGAAGGGCATGGTCCGCGTCTCCTTCCTCGCCGGAAACAGGGTATTTATATGGCCTCCTCTCACAACTATGCCCACATTGCTGCTGACTTCCTGGCGTGCACGCCAGTTGTCACGAGCCGTGTCGACCTGGAGCGAGCGCGAGAAGAAACTCAACATCACACTTCAGTGCGCAGCCACGGAGCACGTAGCCGCAGCCACCCGCATCAACAACGACATCAAAGCATGTGCGTGCTTCTCCTTTCATCTGCACTGCACCGCACCCGTTTCTTACATCGCCCTCATCACCACCATCACCACCGGATTTTGTTGTGCCCATCAGTGACGCAGCAGAAGAGGAAGTTGATGAAGGACCTGGCGGTATTTGTCGGCCAGAGCGCCGTCAAGGAGGGGCACAAGCTAGTGGATGTGCATCGCGATGACGTGGACATGTCGTTCCTCCAGACCACGGCCAAGGCCGCCCAGGTGAGTGAGCCACCTCTTTCACTACACTCTTCTTCGTTGAGGCAAGGCTAACTGTCCGATATTGTGCTGCAGGACGCTGCCAGAGCCGCCGCGAGCGAGCTGGTCCTGTTCTTGAGCTTCAGTGAAGGAGAGGGAGGTCAGTTCATCCTCCAGGGACCGCAGGCGCTGGTGGCCGAGACTGGGAAGCAGGTGGCCGAGCTGCTGCAGGGCAAGGGCGGCGGCCGTGGCAACACGTTTCAGGGTCGCGCCGGCTCCTTCAAGCGCCGCAACGAGGTGGTCGAACTCCTTCGCGCCCAGCTTCGCTCATCGTCATGAACTGGTAAGGGTTCCACCAACACAGCGTCAGCCCAGTGCATTGGTGGGCACTTGTGGCTGTTGTTCTGTTATAAACCCAAGAACTTGCACACAACGCCGAGGGAAGGCTCATTGCACAAGGCACTTGCTGGAACTAGCGGCCGCGGGGGCGGTCGCGCGGAGAGTCAGCGGCATCCCGTCGAGCACTGCCTTGGCGGGCACCCAGCATCGCCTCAGGTGCGCAGGGCCGAATACCGTGGTGTAGAGCATGTTCTCACTCCTGTGATGACCCTTCTCGAGGATGTTGTTGACCAGGATCATGAACGCCTCGTTCACTGCACGGTCATCACAAGCAACGCTTGCATTAAACGGAGATGCAAAGGGAGATCCACACACACATGTGTACCTCTAATGTCGTCGCGCGAGCTGACCGTAATCGACCCCAGAGCGCCTATCTGGGCCGCGAAGCTCGCTGCCTCCTCGCTGGTCACCTGCCACGCTTCTGCCGGCTGTTCACACTGGCACCCGACTACCGGTGGGAGGCAAGGTTCGGACCAACGCAGCTGACGTGAGACATGTCGTCACAGGGCTGTTGTGACAACGAGTCTGTTGGGGCGTGGACGTACCAACGATGACGCTCGGGATGTTGGCCTTTTGCACGTGTGCGACCCACTCCGGGAGTCTGTCGAACGATTCGCGTTTGGTGACGTCGTACACGAGCACCGCGCCGCAGGCTTCCTTGAGATAGACACGAACCATGTTGCCGAAGCGTTCTTGGTTGGCTATGTCCCACGCTGCACCACAGAGTCCGTGAGCCGTGTGCTGTTAGGGGTTAGATGGCCCGAAGCGCTGCAGAACGAGAGAGTCGCGTACTTTGCACGCGAACTACAGCGCCGTTGACGTCAAGCACGTTGAGCGCGAAGTCCACGCCGATGGTGGTGGCCCGACGGCTCGTTTGGCCCGGGCCATGCCCTGCCCAATGTCGCACGAGCCGCGTTCTCTCGAATTCCGCGTGACCCACCACCACGACCTTCATGATGTGCTCTTGCGAGTCTTGTTGTGACTGCTGCTGCCTCACTATCTTCATGTTGTGCGGCTCAGGAGCTAGCGTCTCATACATCGCTGGTGTCGGGTCTCCTGGAGACCACAACACGTTGATAAGAAGAACTGAACGAGTGGGCATCAGCAGCAACGACGCACTTCCTTCACCTCGTAGCTCGCTTCGCTGCCGGGCGTAGTCTCCCATGCGCGGTCGTATCCAGGCCAGATAGTGCGCCTTGCACGGCTTCGTGCCGGAAGCGAACCACTCGGGGTCACAGAACCGACGCCACAGGCTGTCACTCCCGCTGGCTTGATCCAGCGACTGTGTCGTGTGCGGTGGTGCGTATGTGGTGGTGGTGGTGGTGCGTGCGTGTGCGTATCGGGCCGCTTTCCTGTTACGCCTCGCCTGCAACACTGCCTGCGAATGGTGGGGTGCGCCGCGTACTGTGCAGGTTCGGGCGACGGAGCAGAGGTCGAGCGGGTCAAGGAAACCCAACGCGTAGAGAAGCACTTCCAACGGCAACCGTAGCAGCACGCACTCGCCGTCTGCAGGTGGCGACACGAACACGGAAAAGGAACTCTCTGGAGGGGGAGAAGAAGGAAATCGGGGGGGGGGGACAAAGAACGGAGAGCCGCCGCATTCCACGTACGAGGGATCGGGGCCAAACGGGTGCGATCTTCTACTTTATAGGAGGAGTCAAGGCTGGCAAACATGGCCAAGGTGCCCCCACTGGCCAGACGAACTGAGTTCAGCTTCGTTCTTTAGTTCTCCTCCTGTAGTGTAAAAAGGAGGTGAAAAATTAAAGTTATTCATCTTTTCCATCAGCTGAACAGCTTGCAGCGCAACAACATGCTGCAGGCGCTCTGGGGCCGTTCGAAGCCACAGGCCGCAACCTCAACAGAGAACGGTGGTGGACAAGACCAGGAAAGCGGGACGGTAATCGAAGAAGGCATTCAGGATGCTGAAATTGGAGATGCAGAGACCAGTGCGCAATCAAACCCTGTGAAGAGGAAACGAGAAGAAGCAAAAGAAAAGAAAGAGGAGGGAAACGATAACAAGCTGTTTCATGGAGAGAAGATTCAGGTGACAAATGGCGTTCTGATCAAGAATGGAGTAAAATCGCAAGAGGGAGAGGAAGAAGATGACGCCCATCAGATGCCCATGCAGATTGCGGAGACCAGAGGACAAGGGCACAGCGGTGGGCTCGTGCCATACCAAGAGACGCCCTTCGGCATGCTACCGCCAGAGATGGTGCTCCAAATCTTCAGCTTCTTCCTCGACGATTTGCCCTTCCTCGTGCGCAGTATCGGGCTCACCTGCCGCCACTGGAACGACTTGGCTTCCTCCAACCCTCGTGCGCCCCTCAATCTCTGAGTCTTTGAGCTCTGCTCTTGTCTCCTTTATGTGCTGCTGAGCACTCAGCGCCCAAACAGCTTACCGGTTGAGTTGGCGTGGTGTATGTGCGTGTGCGTGTGCGTGTGTGGTGGTACGTGTGCGTGGCTGGTGTCTGCACAGTGTGGAAGCGAGTGATGGAGCTGGGCCTCAGTGAAGTCCTGTCGTGGACCTCTGCGGACCCGATCGGCGTGGTTCCCAACACCAACGCGCCGCCAGACATCGAGGACAGTTCCTACAAAGACCTCTTCTGTAAATACCACGTCCGCATTCGCAGTGCGTTCCCCTATCCTCTTCTATGTGCAATGCAGCATCGCGTCCCCTTCATGCTTTGCACAACAACAACAACAATAACAACACCAACAACAACCAACACACACCAACTGATTCCTTTTTCAACGTTCATCGGATGTCAGACAACTGGGAGAACGGATCGTACTCCATAAAGGCCCTGACCGGGCACAAGGACTTTATTCGATGTGTACGGTTCGACAAGACCCATCGGGCGGTGAGCAGCGGCGTGGATCGGATGGTGTGCGTGTGGGATCTGAAGACGGGCGAGTGCATCAAGACCATGAAGGGCCACACCGGTGGTACGTTACATTCTGCTAAAAGCCACCATTTGGTAAAGTAGTGTGTCGCGTGTCGCGTGTCATGTCGTGTGCTGCACACGCAATAACGGCCTGCTTTGCTTCAGAGGTGGACAGCGTGGACTTTCACGGTGACACCGTCATCAGCGGCTCTTTTGATTCGACGGTGAGGTTTTGGGATGTGAAAACGGGCGAGTGCACGAACGTGCTGAAAGAGGCGGGCTCCATTTTGATGGTACTGCCCACTGCCGTCACGACGCATCGCCATCTGGCCACTCCTCACTGACTCAGTGCTCATTGTCAACCCCCACAGTGGTGTGTGCACCTCTTCCCCGAGAGCAACAGAGTCCTTTGCCCAGGTTCCGTCGGTAATGACGACCTCTCATACCATTTTCTTGCCTTTTGAGAGAAGCGTCTGACGATTCTTGCCACTCTTTCAGCTTCGTTGGCGCTGTGGGACTCGGAAAAGAGGGAAGTGCTTCATCGATACACGAATCCCACGTCGGCCAACGTGATGGTGAGTTGAACACGCACACTGCTCTCCCCGTGTTTCTTACGCGTAAACTAACTGAGGGTCTTGTGCCGTCGCATTGGCCAGTCCATGTACGCGTGCGGACAAAGCGGACCGGTGGACCCGCTGCTGACCGGCTCGTCGGACAAGATCATTCGACTGTGGGACACCGAGACAGGGTTGTGCAAACTCGAGATGTCGGGACACACAGACAGCATCTGGGCCGTGCACTACGACCAGGGCGCCGTTATCACCGCTTCATCCGATCGAACCGTCAAAAGTATACAACTCAACCCACCAACCCAAGCAACTTTCGTGGCGCTCGGATGGCTAATGATCGACACACCATATGCGTGCGTGGCCCTCAGTGTGGGACATCAGGAGCGGTCAGTGCGTGGAGACGCTGAAAGGGCACTCGGGCACCGTGTTCTGTATGTGGGCCGATGGCGGTCACGTCGTGAGCGGCGACTCCAACGATTGGCTGTTCGTGTGGGAACTCCGGCAGAGACGACGCTTGCAATCCTTCAAGGAACACGAAGGTGTCGTACCCACCAGCACCAACCACCCCACCACCCACTCATGCAGCGTAGGTGCTGAGACATCGCTCGCCCGTGGGCTCACACTTCGTGCCTGGTATCTCTTCTGTCAGGTGGTCTTCGGTCTGTCCAGAACGATTCGCACAAAATCGTCTCAGCGTCGTGGGACAAGGTAACGAGCGAGCTGCTCTCTTTCCTCTCTTCTCTGTTGTCCTGTGCGTTTCTGCTTTTCTTTGCTGATCTTGACCTTCTCACTCACTCCACCCTGTCCACGTGGTCCAGACGATCAAGGTTTGGTCGTTCGTGTGATGAAGGTCCGACCGAGAGAAGCTTTGGCGTGGCCCGTCGGCCCTTTTGGTGTAGAATTCCGATCAGTCGACAAAAAATGCAGATCGTGGACGCACCAAAAAGGCCCGAACGACACGGGAGAAAGAGAGAAGAGAGAGAAAGAACGGGCAAGGAGGAGCGGGACACAGGCGCTGCACAAGAAAAGAAAGAAAGGGAAGGACCCAATAAGGAGAGAAACCATATTATCTCTGAGATAGAAACAGTTGGGGTAGAGGAGGAAGAAGAGAGGGGAAGAATTCTACTCCATTTAATTTTTAACTAAAATTGAGGAGAAGATGAAGGCGACAGCAGAACCGCCGATCGTGGGCGGATCGGGAGAGGAGGCCACCAAGTACATCTTTCGATTCAAGGTCGACCTGGGAGGGAAAAAGCGCCGACGAGGAGGCGACGCCCCCCAGGGGGTGGGTCCCCCTGCTTCATCCTCCGCCCCATCAACATCATCATCATCATCCACCCCTACTTCATCCTTGCCCACCCCTGCCCCGCCGGGTGGGATCGAGCAGTACCTGAGCAAGACCAGGATCAAGCTGCTGCGCGACAAGCAGATCGAAGAACGTAAGCAGCAGCAGGCGCAGCTCCAATCCATCCTCAAGCAGCACGAAGAACAGCTGGTCCAGCGCCAACCACCGCCCCCTTCATCTTCATCCTCCTCTCCTCCCTCTGCCGCCGCTACCCCAACGACCGATCGAGTGCAACCGGGCGACGGCAGCTCGCCAGGTGACCGCCAAGCACCGGCCAAGCCCGAGGCCTCCAGCGGCGGCGGCGGCGGTGGGTTCGACGTGGCGGCGTTTCTGAGTGAGGCCAACGCCGGGACGGTCCACCCGCTGGGCGCGGGCCTGTTCCACAAGAAGCGGGCGCGAGGCGGGAGTAGTAGCAGCAGTGGCTCCACGCCCCCATCGAGATCGACGGGCAAGCGGGAGGCCAAGCGCTCGAGCGACGAGGAGGAAGTGGAGGACTACGATGACAATGATGACGACGACGAAGAAGAAACACGCGCAGTGCAGCCGCAGCCGCAGCGCAAGGCACTAAAGAACGAAAGCGACGGTAATGCACCAAAGAGCGGCGGAAAGAACGAAAACAAAGGAGGCAGAGCAGCGGGATGGCGGAGGGACGCGGAAGCGGCGGTGGCGGTGGCGGCAGAGGAGGAGGAGGGGATGCGGCGGAGCGTGAACGAGGTGGTGAAGCCCATCGGCGGCCGCCGCCTCGCCGCCACCGCCCAGTTCTTTCCTCACACCCCGCCGCCCGGCCTGGGTGGAGGCCTCTCGTCCCCGACCTCCCTCTCCCCGGAGGCGGCGCCGTCGTTGGTCGCGCTGGCCCACAAGCCCTACATGACCGCGGCAGCGCACGCCAGCGGCGACTCCTCAATGGTGGTGCGTCGGCCCAAGCCACCACAAGCAGGCGCACAATCAGCAGCAGCAGCCGGCAGGGGCGAGGCCCAGCAAGCGGCGGTGCGGGGTGTGGTGCCTCTGCGCCAAGGCGGCCGCCACCTGAGCTTCGTTTACGAGGGACTGAGTACGGCGCCCTCCATCGTTTTCGTGCAGAGTTGCTCGTTTCCCTCATTCTCTGCTTTCGCTGCTCTGCGCTTGGCTTGCGGATCGATCCGTGATTGATTGATTGATTGCTGCGCAGCTCTTGTGAGTATGTACGAGACCTACATATGGAACTATACACCGATGCACCCGTCCATCCTGCACGAGAGCAGCGTGCGCCGCATTCTGTGCGGATCCGAGGAGGACACGGGCACTCCGCTGGCGCTGAGCGTCAACGTCGCCCTGGCTGCGGGTACCCCTTTTCTTACCATTCACACACTCGCACCACTGCTGCGCCTGGCGGTCATCAATTCATTAATTCATTGACGTCTGTTTGTATGTCGCGCGCACTTGTGGTGCAGCTTCGTACTGGCTGGGCAATGCCAAGCGAGGAAACGAGTTCTATCGGGTGGCGCGGCATCACCTGGCCTATCTGTTCGACTCCTCGAGCTACGAGGTGGCCGAGGCCCTGGTCACTCTGGGCGTGCTCAGCTATGGGCAGGGCGACGTCAAGCGATTCGGGTACTTTGTGCACCTGGCGAGCACCATCTGCCAGCGGATCGGGGCCTACAACAGCGACATCTACGCCAAATGCGTGATCGCCACCGCCCTTGATCCACTCTGTCCCCAGGAGGACAAGGCCAGCCTCCTGGCCGACTACAACCGCAAGGCACGCCGCTCCCCTTCGCTCGGGCGTGCGTGCATGCGTCCGATAGGGTGTTGTTCCTTTGCTCGATTAGATCGACTGATGGGTCAACTGGGACTGTGTGTGGTGCAGGCACCGGTGAGTCCGTATTACGATAGCACGCGGGCGATCTTCCCTGAGCACTCGGGCGACGTGGTCTTCAACGAGCGATCGCGGATGCTGTACAAGCGCTACATCAAGATACGCGATGCCGATCGGTACACACACACACACACACACACACGCACACGCACACGCACACACCGTGTCGGTGCGCATATGCTCAAGCACCTCGTCTCCACCTGCTGTACCTACCAGGCATCTGTCCGTATTTTGGCTGACGCTCAAGGAGTGGGAGCAAGCTGCCAAGGCTATCGAGCAGCACACCTGCACCAAGCCGCTCCCACAGGTGCGTGTGGCCCATGCATTGGCGGTAAGTGCGTTTGGGGCATCGCTCGCTCAACCTTACGTTCATACAATTCATCCAACGGACAGGCCTACATGGACGAGGCTTCCCTCACGCGGTTCTTGAGAGCCCTGCTGCATTTGGAGGCGATGCTCGAAGCAGGTACGCGCCAACTCTCCCCCGTATCGCGTTGGCGTTGGGCTCGAGCTCTTACCTCACTTGCACCTCCTCAACTCGTCGTTGTGATTTGTATAGACTATCTCGGGGACGGCTTCCACGTGACCATGGTGCTGTACCGGCTGGCCGCCCGCGCTCAGTACCATCTCATGCGCGGAGACGAGGCCAAGGCGTGGTATTGGGTTTCTCAGTCCATCGAATCGGTACGGCCCTGCCCGGCTTCGCCCATCGTGCTGACGTCAGAGCGCACGCTCGCACTCATTCCTTACTTCCTCTGCCACAGCTGCAAAACGTTCACACGGTCCGGATCAGTCCCACCACGCTCCCGGCCTACCAGACCCTCCTCGACGTCCTGGTCCACTTCAAACGGTACCGAGCCATTTGTCTCTTTCCGCTGCTCTACGCACACTCACGCGGTTAACATATGGCGCGCAAACAATATAGAGCGGATTTGGTGCGCAGCGTGGCGACGGTGGCGCGCGGATGGATCGACATCCATCCGGTGTGCCGCTCGGCGGTGGACCACTACCTGCAGCTCGCCGAGGCGGCCGCAGCGACGCCGCCGCCGGCCTCGAGGCCCACTCCTGCCGGACCCACCACCATTTCGACTACTTCTTCTCGGCGGTGCGATGCCTCTCCGGGTGCTGCTGGTGCTGGTGCTGTTCATGTGACTGCTCCCCGGGACTACCACCAGGCACTCGTAGGCCACTTCCCGAGCGACCGCTTCGTCTCTGTGACTGGGACTCGCCACCAGCAGCAGCTCTCCGCGGGCCTCCCCGCGACATCGGCACCACCACCAACCGCAACCGCAACCGCGACAGCGCCGGCGGTGGCGGCGACGACGAGCAGCTTCGTCGTGGGGCGAGCGTGGGGCGAGCCGGGCCGAGAGAGCGGCCAGGACATACCGCATGGGCAGGTCATTCCCCTCGAGGCGAGTGGTCGCGAGTCCTGGAGCGGCGTGGGACCCACGTCGTCGCTCGAGGCCAACAGCGACCTGCCGGTGCCGCCTACCGCCGCCGCTGCCATGGGCCAGCAGCACAGACCGGTCGAGGATTTCGACAGCGGCTGTCTCGTCGGCGGACAACGGAAGGACAACGGGCGGAGCAGCTTCGACTGGTCCCTCTTCCTGCAGGACCTCGAGGCCAACAACACGTGACCCGCACGATGGCTAATTGTAGAGTAGTTCTCGACTGCTTCGGGTGTGAAGTGGAGTGTGCATAGCGTGAACAGAACCTTGTTTTTGTTGTACATCATGTGCTTGCGTTGTTTGTATTTATAACCAGTATCGCGGATACTTCATGTGCGGCGCTCGCGGGAGGTTGTTCCAGAGAAGGGCGACGCCCAACATGATGCTCACGCCGAACAGGGTGGTGAGCACGTAGTAGTAGCCGGCATCGTACACCGTGTCTCCTCCCGTCACTGCTATCAAAGCGGTGGCACCGGCTGGAGGGTGGGGCGTGGTGGTGAGCAGCATGAAGGCGATCGCCAGCGAGACGGCCAATGCGCACGAATACCTGCACGACAACAACAGATCAGCATTCTTTGGCGCTTTGGAGGCCACCAGTCACGCCAAACAGGGAGAAGTGCGTACCATTCGCTGCCCATGGCCTTGTAGCAGGTAACGCCCACGAGCGCAGCGATGCCGTGGCCGCCCAGCACGTTCTTGGGCTGGGCCAGCGGCGACTGCTGCGCGCCGTAAATCAGCACCGCCGTAGCACCAAACGAACCTACCCACACGCATGCAGTCATCCACCCATATGTGTTAGTGGGCTGTCTCGGTTTGCCTGAGCTGAAGGTGAAGCAGATGAATGCAGCCAGGCACCGATGAGAAGTGGCTTATCGAGGTGACTGAACCCGTACTGCGTGACGATCGCAGCCACAGCAATACCCACAAACGAACCGACCCTGTGTGTGTGTTGTGTGTGCGTGTTGGAAACTGCGTGCCAGGTGCGTGTCGTGCGGTTCGCAAGCTTGAGAGGCGAGACTAGACGAGAGCGGGGACGCACCAGGAATAGAAGATGACGATGAGAGGCAAGGGGTAGTTCTGCTTGTGCTTGGACCTGTTCTTGCCGGTCTCCTCCAGCGCGGCGAGCTTCTTGGCGTAGGTCCATGGATTCCACTCCCATCTGTAGTCGAACTCCTTGTGCGTCGGGAACAGGCTGCGCAGGTAGAAGTATAGGAAGTGGCTCGTGAGGAAGGCCTTCGCTTTGGTGCGCGTAGAGCGAGATCGGGCTGTTTTGTGTTCCATCTTTGTTTGGCCCTGCTCTACATCAAAATCTGGGGTGCCGCTTCGGCTCGATTCCATCTCGAGGCCCTCTTCTGAGTCTGAGTTCTTCTCTTCTTCCAGCGACACGACCCCCTCGCCGACGTGTCCCCGCTCGCCCGCAATCTCTATCCTCAAATCGGCCGGCGCACTACCATCATCGCCATCGAGCGTTATTTGTCCCTCACCCACGACTCCGCTCTCGCCGGCAATGCACACCCGCACCGGTGCATCCTCCTCCCCGCCATCTCTTCCGCCTTTGTGATGATGGTCATCGCCTTCTCGTTCCATTTTTCCTTTTCCTTTCTATTTTCTCTCAGCTTTTACCGTGTTCCTGTTTGTGGAACATTGTCGACAATGTTGAGCATAACACTACATTCTGCTATCATCAACATGCGGTTGATGGTGGTGGTGGGCTGCAACTACAGTTTTCTCTCCATGTGGGTGGTGGTTGCTGGGGATGTGGTTGATGGCGGTGGTGAGCTGCCGTGGGCGAGGAGAAGAGGGAGCAGGCAGGAGGGAATGTTGCGTTGGTTGGCCGGAGGCCTGGCGATGGGCAGCTCGCACAGGTGGTCGCGCACGTCGTGGCGCACGCCTCGGCTTACCATGTAAGTGAGCGAGCGCCTGAACTTGTACCGCTTCTCACCAGCGACGTACCCCTCTCTGCACACGCGCGTGCTTTTACCGTCAGCGCGGCAGCTCACAGCCGCCCATTAGGAGTGGACCAGGGATATACCGCGATAAAGAGAGCAGAGGGCAGTAGGCTTCTTCCAATAGGCGCAGGAGGTTATGAAATCCTTGATGAAGCTCGCGATAGACTGGCTCCCTGCAACGATCAAAATAAATAAGCAGGCGAACAGGAAAAACAAAAAACAAAAAAATGTTGATGTGGGGCGTGTACCACTCGGGAAGGAGGAAGACGGGGAAGTCGCTGGACCGGATCACCTCGAGGAGCAGTTCGCGTAGCGTGTCCTCCTTGCCCACGAACCACTTCAACCGCGCAAGGGCCGCATAGGCCGGTGCGATGATCTTGGCCCTGCACTCCAGCAAACCCACCGGCCACCTGATCAGCGCCAACCCATCAGCCTGAACTGGCGAGAACCCACCTGCGCAGGTCGTCGTCGACCACCAGAAACCCGGAGCACGCACTCGAATCGAGTCGCCTGCCTTCGCTGGAGTAGTGGCGTGGCCCGAGGGTGAAGAATGCGTGAGGAATGCGAGGGTCAAACCAGAGAAGGGGAAAAAAGAGGGCAGAGGTGGGCACCGTAGCAGCACCCGGTAGAGGGAGTGGTGGTCCGGGGGAAGGACTGGCGGCCACGCGTACTTGGCGCCCTTGGGATTGCCCGCGGCAGGTGCGGCGGCGGTGTCGCCCGTGTCTTCCGCCGCGCGCGCGTCGCCAGCGGACTCTTCATGATCGCCCTCCCACGGGTGGTCGACTGGGTGCCATGGGGTCAGCCATGATGGAAAAAAGACTTCGCCGGACCAAGGGAAACGTGAACGCGTACAGACAGATTCCCAGCGGTGTAGGTGCGCGATGTCGCGAAGAGCACTCGGCGGCAGGTCCTCGAGTTTGCCGTCCAGATGCCTCGCACCGCTCAAGAGCGCTTGTCCGGCTGACGAAGCATCTGCACGCATCACAGACCATCAGCGACAGTTAGTAACGCGACCGCATGCCCATACGAGCGCACACGACACCACACACACACGACACACACACACGACACACACATGACACCCACACGACACACACTACATACACACCTTGCGAGGGAAGGTGCTCGCAAGCGTCGATCGCGGTAACGGAGACCATGAAGGTGTAGCACAGGCTAGTGTCCTCTGGCAGCTGGTACCCGCGCTCGTGCCAGATCTCCCAGAAGTAGTCGCCCAGCGTCTTCGCTTCGGATTCGTGGTCGCTGCCAGTCGCCGACCTCTTGGCCCGCCCGCTGCCCGTTAGGCTTTGGCCGGTCCCCTCCCAGTTTGTCGGGTCGACCTTCCGTGCGCGGTTGACGAAGCTGGCGAAGGCTTGCCGGGGCTTGATGAGCGTCTCCTCCATGACCTCCCAGTAGTTGTAGTGCGTCCGGCTCTTGAATGCCAGGTACTCAAGGAATGTGCATTCTTCCTTCTTACCAGCATTCGGCTCAAGCGTTTCCGGCCGAGGCGTCGCGGTGGAGGGCATCGGCACCGTCACTCGCAGCACCGCGTCGCTGCAGTCGGCCAGCTCCGACGAGCAGACGCGCCATTGTCCGTCGTAGTGGAAGAGCGACACGAACCGGGCCTTGTCGGAGATCATCAGCTTGAACACTCGCCCGCGGTGAATCCCTCCGCGCGCGTCGCTGTGAAGGAGCCCGGGTCCCAGCAGCGCGTCGGCCTCCTCCAGATTGGACGGCCGGACGTCGGTCATCTTGGCTGGCGGGTAGCACACGAGCCTCGTCGGCTGGCCAACACTATTGTCCGTGGTCGGCGTATTCTCCAGCGACATCTCGATGAGCAGGCCGGACGAGCATTCCTTCACAACCGGGTGGTCGAGCGCCTTGAAGCTGTCGGCATGCAGCATCACCAGCGCGGGACACGTTTCGTCCCTCGTGATGTCAATGTTCAGCTCCTGGTGGCGGCCATTAGTCTGATATTAGCTGATGTCAACAGAGGGGGTTGGACGAGGTTTGAATACCCGGGAGAGTGAGCGGAGGCCGTGGGCGGCGATGTAGGCAAAGGTGGCCAGGCGGGGACCTTCACTGTACGGTGTGCGGAGGTCTGCCGGTATGGGCAGGGGCTCGGTGAGCGCGATGACCTGGTCCTTGAGCTCCCTAAAGAGTGGTCCGTACTTGCGCTTGTAGTCCTCCCACCTCGTCGAGGGATTGGAGGAGATCTGCGTCGTATCGTGCGTGTGCGTGTGCGTGTGCGTGTGCGTGTGCGTGTGCGTGTGCGTGTGCGTGTGCGTGTGCGTGTGCGTGTGCGTGTGCAGTTGAGTGCGAAAACACGACAAGAAGTGCGCACGGGGCCAAAGTACGGACCTCAGGCCAGTAGTGGTTGGGTGCTTGCAGGTCGGTGATGGCGCCGTCCCGTAGGATCTGGAGCGCGTAGTCGAGCGTGCGAAGGGCGTGCATGTAGTTCTTCTTCCCGCGCTTGGCGTCACCTGGGGAAATGGAGCAGTCAATCACGCATGTCCGCCACCCTAGTCTGCCCGTGTACAGTCGGCAGGATGGCTCACCTTTCCATTTGTTCTTCTTGCGCTGCTGCTTGACGTCTCCCAGCACAACCCGCCGGAGGTCCGCCTTCCTCAGCTCGAACGGCACGCGCACGTCCTCTCGCCACACGCACTCCTTCGGCAGAAACAGTGCCTGCCGCAAACGAAAGTAGAATTATTTATTTGTATTTATTTGTATTATTAATATTTAATATTTGGTGTTCGTAAAAATAGGATAAAAAATAAAGAAATGACAAAAGGTACCGTAGAGACCCAGACTACGTTCTCTTGGACGAGGCTGCAGAAGAAGGTGAGGTGGAAGACGGTGATGCTCAAGTTATGGCTTTCGAAGTCGAGGAGGCGACTGCCGGGTTTATCGTCACTGCCGTCGGTGCTCTCAATCACGGCCATAACGTCATAGTCCGACTCTGGCGTAGCGAGGCCGTGGGCGCGCGAGCCGAAGAGGTACACGTTCACCACCCGGTGAGCGTAGGGCAGCGTCGCTGCCAGCAGCCGCTCGACCAGCGCCAGGTCAGCCTGCTTTGGCCTTTCGCACTCCATCTTGGCCTGCCACGGCAACTGCACCGAAAAGCTGGGCGTCAAGGCCGTGAACTTGAACTTCCAAAAAGCATAACTTGCAAAAACAACTTGCAAAAAGTATGTATGAGGACGACGTGACTTGAACACGCAACCTTCTGATCTGGAGTCAGACGCTCTACCAATTGAACTACGCCCCCTTGCCGAAATGAAACCCATTTCACTGTTGATAAAGGGAAACCGAAGGTTATCTTCCATCTGCACCGTGGGGCTTGCATCTGATAGCAAGACCTTTTCCGCTCAAGTTCGTGTCCTCAAGTTGGTCACAACCAAAACAGGCCACCAATCCTTCAGATGAACTTTACGCAACGGCCGGAGAGAAAGGGCGGGAAAACGGAGTTTCTTACACACTTCTCCGTTCCTTGCTTTTTCCTCCGGGCGGTGGCCGTTTCTCCGCCGCAGTGGTTTCTGGCGGCGTTCATCTCTCGAAGATCTTTGTCACGCACCCGAGTCTCACACACATCACACACATGGACGCTGCCAAGGGAGGAAAGAAGGGAGGCAAGAAGGGTGGTAACCAGCCCCAGCAGCAGAAGAAGGGCCAGGCGCAGCCCCAGCAGAAGAAGGGTCAGGCCGCCCCGGCCGCCGCCGCCAAGGGCCAGGCCAAGCCTCAGCAGAAGGGCCAGGCCGCCCCGGCCGCCGCCGCCAAGGGTCAGGCTAAGCCCCAGCAGCAGAAGAAGGGCCAGGCCGCCCCGGCCGCCGCCGCCGCCGCTGCTCCCGCCAAGCAGCAGCAGAAGAAGAAGGGCCAGGCCGCCGCTGCCGCCCCCAAGGAGGAGAAGGCCGTCGTGGCCCAGCCTCCCGCCAAGAAGGCCAAGGCTGATGAGGAGCAGCAGGCCGAGATCGCCGAGCTCAGCGAGGCCGCCCAGAAGGAGCTCGCCGAGATCACCGAGGCGTTCAACAAGATGGCCGATGAGGAGATGAAGGCCGTCGCCAAGATCACCCGCGAGTTCAACGGCAAGCGCAAGCCTCTTCTTGAGAAGCGCAAGCAGGTCGTCTCCAAGATCCCCGGCTTCTGGCTTCAGGCTGTACGCACCTCCAACTCCATGCTTTGTTTTTAAAATCGTTGCCTAATCGCTGTACGACCTTTGCAGCTTGCCAACACTCCCGCCGCTGGTCTCATCAACGACAAGGACGCCGAGGTGTTCCAGTACCTCAAGGACATCAGCGTCATCGAGCCCACTGACGATGAGGCCGACAAGGCCAAGGCTGATGATGATTTCAAGATTGTCTTCGTACGCGCCTCCCTCACCCCTCTTGAGATTTAGCCTCTCACTTGCGTAGAGTGCGCATTTGCTGATGTTGTTCGTTTCTTCTTCGCCTGCCGCAGACGTTCGACAAGAACCCGTTCTTCGCCAACAAGCAGCTCTGGAAGGAGGTCAAGTATGTTGGTGAGGATGAGAACAGGGAGCTCAAGGTCACCGGCTCGCCCATCAACTGGAACAAGGGCAAGAACCCCAACGAGAAGAAGGCTCCCGCCAAGGAGGAGGCCGGCAAGCAGAAGGGCAAGAGGGCCATCGAGGAGGTCGATGAGGACGACGATGATGAGGGCACCTTCTTCGACTGGTTCACCTCCACCGAGGACGAGACCGTCGAGCTCGGCGAGTGGTTCAGGGACAAGTTCTGCCCTCAGGCCGTCGGCTACTTCATGGGCGACGTCTCCGACGATGAGGACGACAGCGACCTTGACGAACTTGACTCCGAGGAGGAGGCCGAGTTTGCCCGTCTCGCTGGCCTCAACGGTGGTGATGACGATGACGAGGATGGCGACGAGTAAACCACACAAGTCTCCTCTCCCTCTTCTTCTTCACTTTACGACGATGTCTACAATACACCTTCACCACCTACACGCTCAAGCAGTGTTCCCAGCTTTATTGCAGCCCATCGCTTGGTGTCGTGTTAAATGCTGTGTAGGTGATAGGCCGGGTGATGATGTTGATAGTGTTGGTGCGGTACGGAGGCTCCGCCCTGTCGGGCAACCGGGTTGTGAGGTCTCCCCTTTTGGCGGCGAAGTCGATTGAACCTTACCATTTAGAGGAAGGAGAAGTCGTAACAAGGTCTCCGCACCACGCTTGTGGAAGGCGCCTGGAGCTGGCAAGGCCCCTTCTGCAACCTCTCTTCCTCTCTGAAAGAAGGCAAAGACCAACAACAACAACGTGCAAGGGTGTGGTTTACTGGTGTGGTGTGTATTATGGAATAACATAGATTTACATTATTGGTCTTTAAAAGACGCATGCACACGCCTTAGAGAGGGTACGTGGCGGGGTCCTTCAACACCGTCGGTCGGGTGCACTTGTAGACGATGGCTGCCACGGCGCCGAGGACGAGCAGGAGGGCCACCAGGACGATCAGGGAGCCGCCGAGAACCGAGGTGAGCACGATCAGGAGCGTGTGGTCGTCCGGCTGCGGCTCCTCGGAGTAGACCGAGCAGGAGAATTCGAACTCGACGGTGAAGGTGGTGTTGACGAGGTTCTTGTTGGAGAGCAGCCGGTAGGTGCCCGGCTTGAGGAAGGGCGGCGTCGAGGTGGTCGTGCCGCGCTCCAGCAGCAGGTCCGGCACGGGCTGCGGGCCGCTGAAGGAGATGACGTGGTCCAGCACGTCGCGGTTCTCCAGCACGAGCACATCGCCCACAGCCACCCGCTTGCCGTTCCACCACGTCGACGAGTCCACCGTTTGCGGCTCCACCAGCCGCACGCGGTGCTGGTGCGCGCCGCGCGGGTAGTGCGCCGTGTTGTAGGCCACGCGCGTGACCAGCTCCGGGCGGTGCGGCTCGTAGTAGTAGGTGGTGGCGAACCACCCGTGCACGTCGTTGAAGGGCATGATCGCGCAGCAGTGGTGGTACTCGGTCGTCGACGTGGACGTGGACGTGGACGTGACGTTGCGCGCGGACTCAGCCGTGTAGACGCAGCGACCGCACACGTCGACCTGCTTGGTGTTGTAGCTCACGCGGAGCGTGAAGCTGACCGACGAGCTCTCGACCGAGGTGATGCGGTAGAGGCCGGGCTCCTGGATGATGATCTCGAGGGTGTTGCCCGGGCGGAGCGCGGCGTAGTCCCAGCGCGTCTGGATCTGCTTCACGCGCGCCACGTCGGCCGGCACGTCGAGGCGGTACATGATGAGCGTGTAGGTGTGGCCCGCCTGCAGGTTGGTGATGGCCAGCTTCTCGCCGGTCTCGAGCGTGTCGCGCAGGATGATGGCCTCAAAGTCTTTGATCGTCGCCGTCGTCTGCGCGAAGGGCAGGAAGCAGCACTGCGTGTTGTTGCCGCCGCACACGCCGCAGAAGTCGCGCTTGGTGTCCGACCACGGGATGCCGTCGCAGCCCGCGCACTGCGTGTTGTTGCCGCCGCACACGAAGCACTGGTCCAGCTGGCCCGCCGGGCACGAGCACGCCGGGTCGGTGATGACGTGCTGGCCGAAGCACTGGCCGGCGCAGTCCTTGTCGGCGTTGAAGTCGCGCCTGGTGGTGCCCAGCGCGCACACCTGGCAATCGTCCAGCACGGCGGTGCCGTTGCACACGCCGGCGCAGTCCTGCCACGAGTTGGGCTCGAAGCCGTCGCCCGGCACGTAGCACACGTTGCAGTCGTCCCGCGTGGCGTTGCCGAAGCACCGCCCCTGGCAATCCTTGTCGGCATTGGGCGCCACGCCGGTGGAGCCCTCGACGCACTTGCCGCAGTCGTCGACGTAGGCCGAGCCCTTGCAGACGTTGTTGCAGTCGACCGTGTAGCCGCTGCCGTTGTAGTAGTTCTCGGGGGTGGCGCACACACCGCACGGGTTGTAGCGCGCGGTGCCGTTGCACACGCCCATGCAGTCCTTGAACTCGTTCACGTCCCTGCCGGACGAGCCGCCCACGCACACGCCGCACTCCACGGTCGCGCTGCCGAAGCACAGGTTGGCGCAGTCCAGCTCGTTCGCCGCGCAGCAGGTGCCCCGCTTGTCCACGACTCCGCCGCACGAGGTGGCCTGCCGCTCGGACGCCGTCATCGCGGCCGCACCGCTCGTCTCGTCCTGGTCGAACCGCTTCGCGGTCGTGCCGTTGAAGCCGCACACCTCGCTCTCCGTGATGGCACACACGCCAGCGCACGTCTTTGTCATCGGACCCTAATCATACGACACACACGGCACACACACAGTGAGAATGAAGGGAGCGAATGAAAGAATGAATGAACGAATGAATGGCGTACGTCGAGTCCGGAGGAGCCGCCGACGCAGCGCAGGCATTCATTGATCCGGGCTGTGCCGGCGCACACGCCAGCGCAGTCGATCTTGGCGGTGCCGAGGCACACGCCGGTACAGTCGCGCACGGCGTTGCCGTTGCAGGTGCCCGCGCAGTCCATGCCGTGGGAGATGTCGAGGCCGGTGTCGCCGCCGACGCAGTGGCCGCACGGGTTGAGCTTGCGCGGGCCGCCGCACTCGCCGGCGCAGTCAGCCAGGTAGGCGTGTGTGTCGCGGTCGGCGCCGCACTGGCCGCAGAACTCGGGCGTGGAGCCGTTGCACACGCCCATGCAGTCCTTGGCGAAGCCCGCAACGCGGCCGGTGGAGCCGCCCGTGCAGAAGCCGCACTCGTCGATCTTGGCGGTGCCGTTGCACACGCCGGCGCAGTCCTTGGCCTTCTCCGGGTCGTAGGCGTCGACGAACGGGTCGTAGCACACGCCGCACACGTCGCGGCGCGCACGGCCGCGCGGGGTGCCCTTGCAGTCGAGGCACGAGGTGCCGTTGCCGCCGCACACGCCGCACACGTCCTTCTGGAGGTCGGACGGGTCGACGATGATGGTGCCGTGGAGGGCCGGGTTGTTGGAATCGTGCCACACGTAGATGCCCGGGCTGAAGAACCGGTGCGGCGCGCTCGCGGCCCCCGGTGCCATCACGGCCGGGTCGCCCTCGGCCGTACGGGCCAGCTCGGCAAAGTCGTACGTGGCCCACCCGCGGGCCGCGCCGAAGCCCGAGAACATGGCCACGCCATAGGAGGTGGTCATCTGCATCGACGCCGCCGTGCCCACCTCGGGCGCGCCCAGCTCGCCGTCGCCGAAGCTGGCCTCGCCATTGTCCTCCGGCTTGTTCTCCTCGGGCTTGGCCGCCGCGCCCTCCGAGGCGCCCTCCTTGGGCTTGGCCTCGGGCTTGGCCGTCTTGCCCCCGGTCGTGGTCCCGCCCTTGGCACTGGCAGCCTTCTTGGCACCCTTCCTCACCACACGCTTGCTGCGCGCATTGGGGCACAGACACCGCACCTCGTCGAGCGCGGCCTCGTCGTCATGACCACCCTGCTGCTGGTAGTCCTCGAAGTAGGACAGCAGCTCCCGCTTGCGCTGGGCCGCGGTCTGCTGCACCTCGGAAGCGACGGTCGAATTGGCGGCATCGTCGTCGGCGAGCAGCGCGCTGAGGTGGTCCAGCTGCCGCTTGCGCGAGTCCAGCATCGACAGCGCGAGCTTGCGCAGGGAGAACGCCGGCTGCAGCTCCGTCGCCGTCGGTTTCGAGCTGGGCAGCGCCTTGCCGCGGTTCTTTGCGTTGCTGCGGCGGTGGTGGCTCTTCAGCTGGGCCGTCGCATGGCGGCGCTGCTCCTCGAGGACGGCCTGGCGGCGCTCTCTCTGGCGCCGCGCCGATTGGTCGGTCGAGAAATCCTCCTCGTCGGCAAAGTCCTCGTCATCGTCGTCGTATTCCGGCTCGGCGCAGCAGATGCCGTTCATGGCAAAGTCCTCCACCTGCTCCTCGTCGTCCTCGTCGCCGCCGCCAAAGTAGTGGCTCTCGCTGCGGCGCCTCTCCTGGTGTGCCTCGCGCATGCCACGAAGGCGCGCCTCCGATACGCGGCGCATCGGTTCGTCCACGCGCCTGCAGGTGGGTGAGTGTAGTGATGCCGCGCGAGTTGTTAGTTGAAAGAAGATCATCGTCATCGTCATCATAAGAGATCAAAAGAACAGCGCACCAGCCGGGGAAACGGGAAAGGCCTAGCACATCGTCGCCGTCGGCGATGCCGAAGTGGTCGGCCGTGGCGGGCATGGACGACGACGGCGACGAGGAGGAGGAGCGCTTGAGGTACTGGGAGGTGGCGTCGGGGACGGGGGTGGGCACGGCGGGGTCGGTGCCGTCGGGCTCGGTGTGGTCCTTGATGACGAGCATGGAGGTCATGTACTTCTGGACGTAGGCGTTGACGGTGTCGTCGTCGAGGGTCATCGGGGGCACCTCGCCCTGGATGTCGAAGCCGCGGTTCTTGAGGGTCTCGAGCTCGAATGTGGGCGCGCCGAGGTAGTCGTAGACGCCGCCGGTGATCTTGACGTTCCAGTCGAGCATGTTCTCCCACACGACCATGTCGCCCACCTTGACGCGGCGGATCTTGCTCGAGGCGTCGTCGCCCAGGCGCACGTACTGGACGCTGGCCTGCGACGGGCGGCGCACGCAGCACGTGGAGCCGTCGCCGCCGCACTTGCCGCAGATGTCGACGGTCTTGCCGGAGAGGGGCACGCCGTCGCAGCCGGCGCAGAGGCTGTTGTCGCCGCCGCACACGCCGCACACGTCGACCTCGCCGAAGCAGGCCACGTTGACGGTCTGGACGACGTGCGAGATGATGTTGTCGGGCGTCGTGTCGAAGCCCGAGTGGAGGATGACGGCGTGGATCTCCTGCTGGCCGTAGAGGGCCGTGTTGCGGGTGTCCCAGTAGGCCGAGAGCGTGTAGCGGGTGGTGCTGATCACGGAGCCGCGGATGCGCGGGACGGTGATGGTCGAGATGAGCCGCCCGGAGCCGCCCACGGCGCCGTGCCACAGCTGTACGAGCACGTTCTGGCGCGTGAA